AAGGTACTGCTATATACATTGTGTATATCTTATTTACTGGTATTTTTGAAAAAGGGCCTTTATATAAAAAGAGGGTGGTAATTTCTAATAAATATGTACACGTATTCATCAGTTGAATGTAAGAAAACTAACACCCTGTATACACGAATACCTGTCATTTAAATATTTATAATTGGAGGCAATATCTTCAAAAAATGTCCCTTTGTACCTTCAGACATGGGCGTTTAGAAAGTATCAATTCAAACAGATGCAACTGGCAAATAATAAAGGTTTAGATCTTATTGAACTATAGGCTAACGATCTACTGAATCTTGTAGAAACAGGATTGAAGGGTCTCTGGGAGAGCCATGTGTTATTGTGTTCATAAGCGGCTCCAGCATCCTCGAACCGGGTATACAATTATGGGGCAGCCTGACTTAATAAGCACTGTCAGGAGGGTTGAGATTCCAAATACTGAAGCGCCCCGATCGCTGCCCCCACCTAGGCTCTGAGGTTGGGAGCGGTCTTGTTATGCTAGCTATTGATATGTTTTATGCCTATTACGGTATGTTGCTTGATATGTGCTTGTTGTGATAAGTTCTTGCCAATTTATGTCCCTATAACGGTATGTTCTTGTAACAGTATGTTCCTGAAACGGTATGTCCTTGTTACGTTATGTCCCTGTAACGGTATGTTCTTGTATGGTATGTTCTTGTTGTGATAAGTACTTGTTACTTTACGTCCCTATAACGGTATGTTCTTGTAACATTATGTTCTTGTAACGGTATGTCCTCGTTACGTTATGTCCCTGTAACGGTATGTTCTTGTATGGTATGTTCTTGTTGTGATAGGTTCTTGTTACTTTACGTCCTTTTGATGTTCTATTCTGGGTATGTTCCTTATATACTCGAATAAAGTGTGATCTTGTTATGCTTGTATTATAAAAAAAATATGCACGTCTCTCTCGGCCCACTGTCACGTTTCTTGACATAAAATATCGCATAATTCATGGTGTATTTGATAGAAAAAAATTAGTTGTAAAAAATAATATGCAAGGCACACGCCTAGGTGTAGATTATAAAAATATAATTGTATTCTATTACTCTATAAATAAATACTGTAATCTTATACAAGCTGTTTGAACATAAATCTTGACCCTAGTGAAAATCACACCGTTCTATCTGACATCACAAGTTGGCCTTACACCACAATTATTTGATCGCGAGTTATAATAATAGACAATAATAGAATGAACTTTACTGCAGTTTATTGTTGTTAAAATGGTTTGTATTGAGAAATCCCCTGTGGTTAATTAGACAAATTGTCAAAAGGAGCAGTGGTATAATAGGGGATTAAAGGAACAATCTTCGACATTTTCAATAACGGTCATCGATTACAATTTGAAAGCACGTTGGCAAAATTTGGCTCTATAGAGTTATTAAAACTAGTTAAAAATTATACAATTTCTGGCCTTATAAGTCGATCTGTTAACTTATTCAAAAGAATGGGTACTTTTGTTTTTCGATTGCGTTACATTTTGTTTGGACAGCAGTTGCTGATTCTCAAGGCTGGGATCAGATGTACGTACTATGTCTGTCTTGATATCTAAGATCTCTACTGCAACTAGTAACATTGTAATGAGAAATTCCCTTACTTTAACGTAATATCTCAGTTTGAGCACAGTTTCACCACTCTTGTTAAGTGACTCAGCTTTCAAGTCAAGTAAAGTTTGAACAGAGAAATCTGGTAATGTAACTGTTACTAAGGCCATAATGGACTATATGGTAGTGATTTGAATGAAAGCGTGTGAATAATCAGATAACAGATTAACTGTTGTTTCTTTCTTATTCTGAGAATTCGTCTGGTCGGGTCTGGCCATTTAGATTCCATCTCAGATTGCCATGGCACCATTTACAGGAATGATAGGTTATCAGTTGTCATTATACAACATATTATACCAGTAATAACCCGACTCCATACAAAAACCATTATTGTAACGGAAGCAATTTAGATAAGCTGATGGCTGTGTGTGTTTTTATACTCTCCTCGATGCATACCCACAAAATGTGAAATTGATAGTCGGTTATATAATATACAGTCATTATAAATTGTCAGGATTTTAATTTGAAAAACGAAATTTAATTTGGGATATAAAATTGGTTAAGAATTTGGCTGGAATCAGAAATATGCATGAAGAGAAAAACATCATAAGACATCATACTGGCATTATCCTAGCATCTCTCGCCAATTATCAATCGTCTTACGTCAACTCCCGATTTTTTAAGCTTGGGACGGGGTTTTCGGTTAACGAAATTTTTTACTTGTACTTGTACTCTCGGATTGTGTTATTAAAAGTAATACATGTTTCCCTCGTCCAATCATCCGCAAATGTTGCTAGCAAGGCAGGTTATGTCTGCCTTTGATGCTACTACACAACTTCGTTAGCATTAAGACTAAACTTTTGGAGAATTCACATAGTTAAGAATATCATATTTGATATTTCAAACAGTCTCTTTAACAATCATTTTCAGACGCATATACAACAATGAATGGGGAGTCTAGACTGGAATTTGTTTTGTTGGTTCCCACCATTCTCAGAATGGAATGTGAACGGAATTATCAGGAAGTACCAATGCTCCCCATGTCCTGGTACTGGCACTGTGAAGGAATGTCTGTTTTTTTTGGCACCACATGTTTTAGCTTGTATCAGCTGATTTTAATAGCAGACATGTTGTTATTTTCAACAGAACATTGCCAATTGTCTACTCCGTGTAAATGCTAAGTATTTGAGTATTTAAAGGAATTTAAAGAGGTTTATAATCATTATAAGTGTATCGGGGACACTGATTATGGTTCTTAGAATTGCACTGAAACTAAACTGCTTTTTATGGCGTCTGCTGATATAACAATGGAGCCTCGTTTATGAAAATAAAAATGCTAATACTTATATGAATAGAAAGTAGAGGTGTTATAATGACTTGGAAAAATACCAGTTTGTCTCATTTGTCCATAATTAATTCATAATTATCTAAATAAGAAGAGAATTACCAACAGAATTCCAATGAGTGACCGATCAAGAAAGGTCAAAAAGTTTTGTTCATTCAGACTGTATATACATGGATTTATTTGTGATTGGTTAAAACTCTTAATTATATGCAATAAATACATATTGATATGATTAAGAATACATGATAATTCATGTGAAACACCAATTAATCAAATAGTTTGCTTAATTTGACACTAACAAATATGGAAACCCATTTTTAACGCTGTACAGTGGCTTTAAGCTGCAAGTTGTTCTAATCAGCTAATAATTCTTTCATAATCCGCTGAATAATAATTTCAATCGATAGTTATGTTATGTTTGATTTATAAACCGCTACCATTTTACCCCAAAACAAAAGATTGTCAGTGTTTATGTTTTGATCGTGTTCGAATGTGCATATGTATCATATAGTTGCTCGATTGTTATATTGTTTCAGTAGTGAACTAGTGTATACGTGTAACTTATAGTATTAACAATATATCGAAAAGTCAACACATTAAAAAATTACACTAAATCTATCAGTAAATAGCTGGGTTCAACAGAGATCTAAATACTCGCAAAAACCACGATCTTACATCACTGGTGCACACTTTAAAATCCCACAAGTTTTAGCATTAAGGTGTTAAAATGCATTTTAAAAATTGAGAGGAATTTGAAGTTGAATGTCAACACGCACCTGTTGGGCAGTGAAAGTTGTTCTATTTATTCGTTACTGCTTGATACTGATGTATAGATGTATATGTGCAATATACCACCAATGTGTATTTAAAGGAACACTACCTCTTAGAATGGACTTAAAATTCAAATTGTCAAATTTGTCCCATTCATCACGATACTTACCTGATGTCATTACTGTACTATATAAAAACAGAATGTCTGTATATGATGATCAATCCAATATACCTAGTAATTATTGAACTTTCAAAAATTACTGGTAGTTTTCTGGATAATTACTTAGTTGTATGGATAATAGAGGTATTCTTTTTTTTTAGTTATGATACCAGGTAAGTCCACTGATGAACAAAGACCAAGTTCGAAAATCTAAACTTTATGTTCATTCTAAGTGGTAGTATTCCTTTAAAGTTTGATGGCGATGTTCGTTTTAAGGACAGAAAGTGTATTTAATGATGGCGATGCTAGTTGAAAGGACAAGGAGGAGTGATAATTGTAATAAAAGAACCACTGTAATTACATAGACTGGGTAACCAGATCTGCCTCGCTCTTTACCAGGTGTTTCAGTCAATGACCAGCTTGATTACATATTGCACTGTGAGTTGATTACATATTCCACTTTGTCTGTACGTATTGTACTACTCCCACTATCTCTAGCTCTTCATCTACATCATCAAATACTTCAACTAAAACTTGAAATATTTCTTGACAATTTTTTGCCTCACCCTTATACGTAACTACGACTCTAATGGTCTGTTCTTTTACAAACTTCTTGTACCTTCTTCTTATTCCTTGACACTGTTTTGTATCATGGTAGTATTCTAGCGAATACAGTCCTACTCGATTGTGCGTGTAATCGAGGCTATGATTGGTTGTATTTGTTAACATACAATCCAATCAAATCGGTGGATTAAAAAAACCCTCTGTGATATAAGAAAGGTGGCTGCTGCAGTAAAGTATGAGACTTGGTAAGGGCGTCGGCAACGTCAACCGTTAAGGTTTAACCAAATCGCATCATCATCTCAAATTGCAATGAAATTAATAATTGTATAAATTAGATGTTAAATTATATACATTATCACCTAATTTCATGGTTATAGAGCTAGGTGATGAGTATTACACCTCTACTAGATACTATGGTGTATCAGCTTTCAGGGTATTTTGAGAGTAAATGATACGGGGTAACGGTTAGCAGAAGATTGAAGGGGACAATACGATTGTTATTATATATTATCATATATTATAATTATTATTATAGGGTAATGATATCTTATGATATAGACTCTCATATTATTTCAATTATTTATACAATTTCTTTCATATCAGTGGCTGGACTACCATTGGGCCTGGTTAAACTACCATAGGGACTGGCTGAACTACCATTGGGCCTGGTTAAACTACCATAGGGACTGGCTGGACTACCATTGGGCCTGGTTAAACTACCATAGGGACTGGCTGGACTACCATTGGGCTTGGTTAAACTACCATAGGGACTGGCTGAACTACAATTGGGTCTGGTTAAACTACCATAGGAACTGGCTGGACTACCATTGGGCCTGGTTAAACTACCATAGGGACTGGCTGAACTACCATTGGGCCTGGTTAAACTACCATAGGGACTGACTGAACTACCATTGGGCCTGGTTAAACTACCATAGGGACTGGCTGGACTACCATTGGGCCTGGTTAAACTACTATAGGGACTGGCTGGACTACCATTGGGCCTGGTTAAACTACCATAGGGACTGGCTGGACTACCATTGGGCCTGGTTAAACTACCATAGGGACTGGCTGAACTACCATTGGGCCTGGTTAAACTACCATAGGGACTGGCTGAACTACCATCGGGACTGGTTTAACTAAGTCCACGGGCCCAAATCCCTAAGGGGCACCATTAGCATTAACTACAGACTGAAAAGAAGGGTTTCAGAATCTAGGGGAGCATAGGTTAACAAAAACATTTTACGGGGAACAGGCCCAACCACCACCCCAACCCACTAAAGTCCATTGGCCCATACTCATTTGAGCCACTGTTTCATATTAGATTTTATAATGTAAATACCTACATATTTTTTATAGAGATTGATACCTTGATCGTTCTTGAGATTAACGATAATAATGCATTGATCTGAACATTCAGAATGGGAATATGACGTCAACCAATCTAAATTTACCATTATTCATGAAATTATGGGTTTTGTGACTTGATGAGCTCCACCAGTCACGGCAATCCTTTGTAAGAAAACTATTTGTATAAGATACACTTGCATATATCAGACAGTTTGTAAATTTTCATGTAATTTGGGGTTTTATGATGTGATGAAGTTATCCTTTCTAAGAAAATAAGATTCGTTTTGGTGTAAAGCTATTTTATTAAATAAACTCACATATTACAGACAGTTTCTACAGTAAAAAATTTAACGGATGTAACTTCACAATAAAGTAACCTACAATGAACCGAGGTTTAAATCGGATTTCATTCATTAAAAATATTGTATAGCTGTGGTCTGTCGTCCCCATTCAAATATCCAACATCACAACTTCTTATAATTAGTTTACTATTCAAACTGTTATAAGATTTTGTGTTTTGGGCGACAGAAAAAAAAGATTAAAGTATATTTAGTGTGTTTTGTACCGGGTAATTCGCTGTTTGTCTAGACTCGCGGTAGTTTTCAAAGGTTAAAACATGGTAAAAAAGGACCCCAGGGCGACCTAGGTTCGACACCGTAGTGCGAGGTTTGTGTAACCCGGTGCACTATGAGGTCTTCAACAATAACACTGACAACATATGGAGATAATTACAGCTTAGGAGGGGATTTTCTCTGGAATTTAATTTTCTCAATTGTTCGAAATCTTTTTCTTCTCAAATATTTGATTCATTTTCTGACATTTTGTTCAAACATAACAACAAACAAATAACTTGTTTTCAAACTGAAATAAACCGGAAGTGAAGTCAATGGGGTACCAATTTACCGGAAGTACTAACATTATTTGAAATACTGAGATCGTTTGCTTAGAATTGTATTTTTAAAACAAAGAGAAAGGAGAATAATGACTTTGTTATATCATATGATATTCAAAAAAGTTTACCAAAAATTCAATGTAGGTATGTGGACTCTCTGAAAGGAATGCCGAGTTGTCAAACCCAGTTGCAGATTGGCATAAGGTGTCCTGGAAGGGCGAACGTACACACTAGTGATAAATAAGTACCTTCAGTACATGGCTAACTCCATGGCATGCATTGCAATACGACACTAAATACCTTTATTTCTATTCAGCATACACTACAATAATACAAAGCATGAAATACAAAGAGTGCAAATACAAAACTTCAATGTTTAATTCTTTACAGATTGAAATGGTTAAAAAGCCTTTGAAAAACGTAGAAAATTACGGTAAATTACTCTCTAATTGTAGAAATCTTTAGATTTAATCTTTCATAAAATTACCAAAGAATTTTAAAAGTTTTGACGTTTTGTCTGTGTATTGAGGTGTGAATCAAACGACAAGTGAATATTTCATGAAAAAAAGGTACAGTTGAAAGAGTAAAAAATTACTGCAAACTCTCTGTTTAAATGATTTTTCAGATCCAATCTTTCATAAAATTGCCATAGAATTTTAAAAGTTTTGAAGTATTGTCTGTGTATTGAGGCATGAATTAAACGACAAGTGAATGACAAGGCATATTGTGTTGTAGATGCTATCAGTACTGGAATAATTGCGGCTTTAGGCTATATATATTGGCATTCACTGGCAATTATCAGTTTTTATCTGGTTTTTATCTGTTGATATTTCTCTTCTTTGGTATGATATATTCCACTTATAGCTTCTATACAAATGCATAGTCATCTTAGCATTTCGGGGATTTAGGAGGATATACATACTGTACGAGGATATACATACTGAATGAGATTTAGATTGGTCGAGGGTTTAGTCCTTGCCCAATGAAATTCATCGAGACATACGTCCCAGAGATATGGAAATAATTAAGAAGGTACTGATATATATTTAAGTAATGTTGACGGTAATTGGTTAGTTTAAGGATTCCTAAACAATATATTAGAGCAATGAATTAGGGTATTTACCTGGTGAGACGGGACATGTTTACCCAACACAACCCCCGGACAATAGTCAAATACTGACACAAGGAGAGCCTTTTGTTACACATGTTATTGTTTCGTTTACATCAGTATCACAACACAGAGCTGGCGTTTCACATTTCCCCCTTATATCACTACCTTATTGGGTTCCCAGCGGTGTTAATAACCGAATATGACTAATAAAGAGGGGCTAAAATGACACCTTTGTCCAGGAGCTAACACATTGACCAAGATCTTTACTGCTCTTAATTCTTCCAGTTGAACTAAATTTCAGAAAGCACCTTCGGTTATATTTTGACACCAATCTTGAAAATGTTTGGATTAAATTGATGAAGTATAACCTAAAGCTGAATTTAGTAATGTATATGAAATGGAACCGACATAATGTTCCTTTCACGAGAAGACATTGTTATTTTGTACGATGAGCTAATATCTCACGGGTGTCATGGAGCTTACCCGCTTTACCGTTCTGAATTTTTCTAGTTGAACAAAATATCAGAAGCACCTTAGATAATATATTGACACCGAGCGTGCAAATTTATATGAAATGGAACCTATATAATGCTCTTTTCATAAGACGATATTGTTATTTTGTAACAGAAAGGGTCCTTGTTGATAATAAGTAATTCAATATTAGAAACAGCTATCGGATATCGAGCAAGAATGGTCATCTGGTTACTCTAGTCTACAGTTTCTAGTCTGGTGTCAGTATAGTGATATTATATCAATACACAAACAATGGTGTAACTTTCATACCTGGGGCTGGATGACCGAATAACTCAAATAATTTCAAAAGTGTTACATTCCGAACACTTGACAATGGCGTTTCCACAAAAACAGGGGGGGGGGGGAGGCTACTGGCCACAGTATGAGCAGGAAGAATTTGCATGATTTCCAATTCCTGTGGCTCTGGTCTTTCCAGTAGCACTTTAAACACCACTATCGAAGCAATCATTTACCCTGACAGAGAACCCTTTATGAATCTCTGTATGATAAATGTTAGGAGCTAACATTTTATGATTAACATTATCACCAGCGACACATTGAGATAGTAAGGTCTTTGGTCAAACCATTGTAAATCCCAAAAGCAAGTCATGTTGCACTAGGATTGCAGACCTTGTGTCCTTTCTCCTAGAGTTTATCATCAAGATTGTTAATAAAACATTATTTTGTTACAATAAAGTCTATTGTGGTTAGGGTGTGTGAAATGTAATAGAATGATAACTCAGTTGATAAAAGGCCAGACCCTTAATTCCACCGTTTTCACATACACCTCACGTCATCGTCTCGACAGCTCCTTATAAATTATACAATACATTAAGACACGAATCAGATATTGTATAATAGAATAATAATGTGTAATGTCATAACTCTAACATTATATGTGGTTTTATCGTGGTTTATCTTCAATAACGCCCAGTTTCAAATTGTGACCCGTCTACTGTTATCACAATAAATTCTGCTCACACATAAATTTCTTCAAACAGCACTCTGTTACCTCCACTCTGTGAATGGAAGTGATGTTTGTTGGTGTCTGAATTATTCTGAACTTTAACCTCGGTGAAGAACATTTCCTACTCAATGCATAAAAGAACTTGTGCGACATGTAGTTGTGAACCCGACATTCTGGGATCCCTTACGCCGCTTAGCTCCATTACAGTGCGACTTTGTTGTGAGGATTGTCAATGATCCCCATGCAGGACCTTATTGTTGTCTGGAGTGTCGCTTGCAAGTCAGATAACGACCACTGCTTGGCATAACTTTTGCCACTCACATGTTGGTCAACTCTCTCTTCTTTTCTGTCAAACAACATAACGTTATTTGGGATTCTCGTGTACCCCTTGAGAATTGTCATATATTTCACAAATTTACATATCATAAATTTGATTTTTGTTGGCTTCATAGTCTCTCGATATTATGTTTTTACGAAGAATTCATTCTTGTCTTTTCAGGTATTCTGGTCATCTCAAGCCGATCACTGGTCAAACTGGACGAGTTGGAGTGCTTGCTCCAGGACATGTGACGGTGGTGCCACCTACCAACTAAGAAAATGTATGAGAAGTTATAAGTCTCATGGGGGTTGTAAAGGAGAGAATATCCAATATGCGACCTGTAACAATAAGGTATGAATGCCTCGATCATTTACTCAATTCTAGAACAATGAAGGGCTAAGAAAACCGCCCTGCAGTACTCCGTTATTAAATTCGTTTTAGAGTCAGTGTATAACCTGAAATGGCCTGTATCTCATATAATTTGTATCTGTCATTTACACAATAATAGAATAGTGAAGGACTAAGAAATGCGCCCTGCAGGACACCGTTATCAAGAATTCATTTTTAGAACAGTTGTTTATCATGAACTGCATGCAGTGTGGCGTAATCTCTCATAAAATTTGAATTTGTACAATTACCAATATTCAAAAGAATAGTTTTGCACTAGATGTAACCATATCCGAAGAAAATCAGCTAGCTCTTTTTTTTCAGCCGTGTGACCCAGACTCTCAAGATTTTCGGAAGCAGCAATGTGCTGCCTATAATGATGCTACCTATGGTGGAAGGTATTTCAGATGGTTGCCGTACATAGATAGGAAGAATTCTTGTATATTATACTGCATAGCTAAAGGTACCAGAACAGTGGCTAAGTTATCACCCAAAGTTCTGGATGGTACAAGATGTAGGGGAGATACTTTAGATATGTGTATCAATGGTAAATGTTGGGTAAGTGTTATACCTCAAGCATCATGATGGTCGTCGACCAATAAGGGAGTATGGTTGAACCATCAATGGTCAGATGAGTATAACAATTATAAATCACGGAAAATTCATATTTTTGGCACTGCTGCACTGAATAGGATCAGTTCACGTTACCTCTGGATTTATTACACGATTGTTTATTGTACAATGGGACTGGATTGTAGATCTCCTTTTTTTAGCATAATTTTTTTGTGTGGGGTTTATTTATTCCTGATGATAAAGATTACGTGACATATGATTTTTTTTTCAAACATGGAAAAAATAGGTTTCTGGTAAGAATATAGTGACAGTGATTTCATGTCCTGCAAATATTTCCTCTTTGGCTTGTCATACTCCTGAAATGACTTTGATATATAACTGTTTAACTTCATTGTTTAGTTTCCATAATAAATCAAAAATCCCTTTAAATCACGTTTAATGCTATCTTTGCACTTCCGGATCACCTGTTTCAAAAGTTATGAAGTTCGTTTTTATTCTTTGATATACCACATTATGTGATATATTCGCATTTAGTGTACAATCGTGATTCACTCAGTTCTTATTTTAGACTCTGGCTTTCTTTGAAATCACTAACATGTCCTTTTGATTTCTGAAGACTATGAAAACTGTAAATCTGTGATAGAAAGGAACTGTCGACATTTGTGCTTCCTATTTTACTATTGAGCTTTGTTTGATGTTTGGTTATCAACCAGATATAAAAAGATCTGGTCCACAGATTTGGCAATGTAAAAAATGAACTAAGACACCTTCTAGCTATTAATTATCAATAAAAACACTGTAAGTTTCCTATAAAAACTAACTATTTCACGTTTTGAAGTGTATATTTTGTCTATTGGCAGGATGTGGGTTGTGATCATAAACTTGGTTCCAAGTTAAAGGTAGATTCCTGTGGTGTCTGCGGCGGAGATAACTCGTGTCTGAAGTTAGGTCTATCAGGCCGGTACCAGTGGGTGGAAACGGGCGTATCTCAATGTTCGGCCACCTGTGGAGTAGGTAACTCAATTATTACATTATTTTTCTATCAAATCATATCAAAATAATCCAAATCTAATACTAACATCTTGTTATAGTCAATTTTATCTCCTTATAAATGTTTCGAACTAATCGTGATTGAAACAAATGTCCAGAGAAAGTTAGAGAAATGTCGGTTGGGAAAACAGATTTAAATTTAAATTATGAATCGACACATAATGTATTTCATGGTTAGGGAATTGGATTAGGTGCAAAATTAGGAATCAAAGATATTGATAGCATTCGGGAAACAAACTATTCTGATCAGGGTTAGGGTAGGGTTAAGTAAGAATCCTTTCTGCCAGCTAGTCCTTGGACAAACCGCTTGGCATGGATATTTCCCAGATTATCCGTCCCCATTTACAACTGGGTCGTTTGGAATTATGAATGAAGATGACTTATTTAAGGTCATCGGACTTTCACACGCCAATCGAGATTCGGAACCCACCATTACAGAAACTACAGACCATATGTCACTTTAAATTTCCCATATTTTCATTAGAGGTCGTATAAATAATCATTATCTAACTCATTTGTTATGTATATTTTGATGAAATGAACCCGGCAAATGAAATAATAAACCATGGGAGGCCAAACTTCACCTAACCCGTGTTGTGGCAATTTGAAATAATTGTGTCAATATCAGTCAACTTTAACATATCGGATGGCCTTTACCACCCTTGTATGCCGTTGACATGATGTGATGGATGAAATGATATACGATGAACTAGTTAAAATGGTGCCTGTAGACTGATACACCAGTGAATTCTTTCTTGATATCGTTACTGTTAATCCGACATATTCTCTTGACCATACCACCATTATAGTCTAGAGGTATAGAATCAAAATGTCTCTACACAAACGTTTTAAGTCGAAAGGAATTCAAATATTTAAATCGGTCCCAGTTTAAAAAATAGAATTTTGACCCACAAGGTACCGACTTTGTCCTTCATATATTTTATTTCACTGGACCCACGCTTTCCTTGGGACGTAAAACTCCATTCTTTTCATATACACTCGCTTTCCTGCATGTATGTTAATTCAAATCGGTTTGACTATAACCCAGCACGATACGGGAAGACTATTTCGGACGATCACTGTATCAATATTAAAGAATAGATATAAGTATATATGTGATATTTGGCGTTAATATGATAATATATTCCACCAAGTCAATGATTGACATGTCAAAACTACAATATACCTGTTATAATAGTCAACTGTCAATTCGTTATATATGATCAGAGTCAATATCCACAGCTTTCTCGGTCAAAAGTCGCGGTTTAAGGTCAATATATGCAAGTATTATTCAAACAAAAACATCGTTCACATTGTTTATTTAAATGATAATGCGACTTCTAAAATAGTCAAGTTAAATCAATACATAAGTCCCAAACGTTAACCAAAAATCAAAAATCAAATGCGAAAGACTAGTTCAGAGGGAGGTGGGTTAGTGAGCGCCGCCGCCTGTGCACTGTGCACAGATATTAAATTGTGAAAGCACATTAACACCAGCCAAAAACCATAAATCGATATCTTTGAACCAAGATTATTAATATTTTCAAAAGTGTCCTTTAACAAAATTTCAAATTGTAAGCATAAACAGGTGTAGACCTATGTAAGATATTTTTCAAAATCAAAAACATAATAGCATTGTTATGAATAATATTTAGAAAATCTATTATATTCATATTGACACTGGTATTCTTTTCTTCTGAATATCAAATATCTTCATTATATCTCACAAAATTTCTCAAACTTTTGTTACATTTTCAATTTCCAATGCTATCGTTTAATCAAAATGGACAATCAGTTAAAAATTGATCTTCAGCATTGTTCTCTCTTAATCTTAAGATATCACTTGACACCAATAACAAACACAATATATTCTTGATAGATTTCAATGAAAAGAGAACATAGACCGTGTAACCATTTAGAAAACCTTAGTCTCGAGTTTATCAGTTAGTTGTTTGAATAATAATGGTCTAAGTAGATCTCCCTGCTGATTTCCGGCGTCCGATCTGAATTGGACGACCGATATTATATACCAGCGTACAATACTAAGACTTATTTATGCACTATCCTAAATATCAACAAGAGACGGGGAGTTTCGGGAAATGTAATTGTATTCTTAGTTGAATTCTAGGCCTAACCATTCACCGAAGTTGTGAACGATTACAATTTGCTTGTAATTTACTTATTTCCCTAAGGTAATCAAGCTTTCACTGGCACCATTTGACTACCATTTTCTGCATTGGGATATAATAAATTGCTCTTGTTTGTTGTGGTCACCTTATCTAGTAATAGGTTGGATACTATCACAGCAACGAGATATGCCACATATCATCAACCAACAACCTAACCTGGGACTGAGCTAGTTAGCCCAGTGTCTCATTAAGGAGCTCACTTGGCTATAAATATATTTTTAGGGTCTATTCATAGTATCAAACTGACATTATGGTCGACCAAAACAACCCTTAATTTAATGCGACCTTATTTGGAGAAGTTTTAAATTTTCCTAACGGTCACCCATCCAAAACAATGTAAATCCTATCTAATCTTAGCCATTGTTAAACATCGATATCAGTCCTAATATATTCAGTTTTAATATGATCTTATCATTAGATAAAGTAGAAATTAAGGAGTCGGGACATGCTAGGCTAATAATGACCAGAAATGACCACCTTTGAGGTTATGCCTTCTTAAATACGATCCGCCTACAGAACCCAATACTTCACTACACTCTAGCTTTTCACACCCTATCGCCTTTCAATAAAGGTTTCTTTCAACTTGTGCTGTTAAGTGATTAAGTTTGCTTACTTGTGTACAAATCCTATCAACAATTGACTGTAAAATATCCACTTCTAAAGATATTCGTCTTTGTACGAGAAGACAAGTCGCATTTCATTAAAGTAAGTAGTTACAAACAAACTCCGGCAAATCTTCAAATTTGTTTAACATTGTAAACAGGTGCCCTTTTTGTCAGAAATCTAAACTTGATAAAACAGGATGTTTTCGTTGGTAATTCAATGTAAGACCACCAAAATCAAAGAAGATACCGATATCATTCTTATCTGTACAGTAAATTGTTGAGAATTTAGCACTTAACTACATTCTTAACATTCTTTCAGTTTTATGAAAAAATACTTATAGGGTGTAGGGCATGCCCCGAAACTGAGCTAGCCCGGACTGTAACGATTCTTACATCTCGGTTCATCTGATCGGACTGTAACAGTTCTTACAACTCGGTTCATCTGATCGGACTGTGTAATCGTTCATATGGTCCGATCGTTATAGTTCTTACGTCTCCTGTTTATTTTCAGGATATCAAGAGAAGATTTATTCCTGTCGTGATAAACTTCATTCTAGAATGGTCAAAAATCATAAATGTTCCTCCAAGCATAAACCATCATCACAGAAAAAACAATGTTTCCACAAACGATGTTCTCCAAAGTAAGTTTTACACTATCTGGATTTTTGGAATCTGGACCTGCCTGAACCATATTTGCGTAGGAATACCTTTTCAGTTTTGAGTGAGGGGAGGGTGGGGGCATGGAAATGCATCTCGCATATTATCGCAATAATCTTAAGACCATTGTGCTACACGATTGCCCATTAGAGGCAATGTGCAAATGGAGGCAAGTAGGGATGATATCTCAGCCAGTTCACTTGATATTTGAAGAATGATAGTTGGTCCTTAAACATTGTTCAATGGCATCACATGATAGTAAACAGTTCTCATGTTATTAAGTTATAATCAAATTTTTGATGGTATTTCAGATGACGTGTCTGACCATGGCCGGATTGTAGACAGTTTTCCTTGTTGCTTTTAATTATTTGCTCAGCGATAAAGCTCCCATTTAATCATCCACTGTATTTCAGATGGCGTGTCGGACCCTGGCAGGAATGTTCTAAATCTTGTGGTGGTGGTATTTCTACTAGAAGTGTGGTGTGTGTGGATACCACACTAGATAATAGACAGCGAATATTACTACACAATAACTGTCAATCACCAAAACCAACCAGTCAGAAATCCTGTAACAATGTTATCTGTCCTAAATGGTACGCTGGAGAATGGTCTCCGGTAAGTATTCAATGGACAATCGGGTTTTGGGGTTAGAACTGGTGGTAGCTGAATCTTCTAAGGTTTGCAGTAGCCTTCAATTACCAACAGAATCAAAAATACAATTCTTTAATTTTGTTGCAAAGTGAATAAGTGAGATAGAAACCAATCAAAAACCAGAATCGACGAAAATCCACATGGACAAGAAGGGACATATCACATACTAAAGCTTTGATTTGTGGTTCGAAAGTGGTATACAATCTTCGTAGTGTCTTTTATATGAAACGAAATTTACAGGAAACTACTTCATGTATATATTTGTGGTATGTGGGAGAAACTAAAAACGGTAATAGATTTAGATTCAGACTATTACAAATACATATAACTTCAATATATATAACATTAATGCCCAATTGCTCGAGTAAAAACTACTTATGTTTTGCCTTCTGTAACTTGTGTTAAATATGATTTGTTTTCAAGTATTTGCCTTGTGTCCGATAACATGTCAGGGCGTACTTTACACACCTTGAAGTCGTTTCGAGAGCTGTTAATATATAATTTATAACTTTTCAACCACGTCATATTTATATAAAAAGAGGAAATGATATAACTCAGAAATGCGCAGATTCTCATAATATCATGCAATTATTTTATAAGTAGGCAATTTCAGGGTTGCTTTTCAAAATTTATTGGTACGAACTTTAAGTGAATTTGCCCCCACCTTCTAGATTTTTGCGTCATCGAACACATAGCATCATACAAAGTGTATGATTGACCTCACTTTAATCTCCTGCAAACTACACCAAATAATTGGTAAACTGCGATGCATATTGATTCATCTTATGGTGCCATTCTGAATTTGAAATTCAGATCGCAGCTATCAATTATTTTAACCAAGTAGTGTATGAATTGTATTATGTATTATAAATGTATTTGAAACCTGTAGTGTATGCATTCCGCAATGTTTCTATTTCAGTGCAGTGTAACGTGTGGTTGGGGACAACAAAGTAGAGATGTGGTTTGTCGACATGAAGGAGACACATTCTGTGCTAAAAAGCTGAAACCACCAACCAAGAAAAACTGTACCACCAACTTCCCCTGTCTGGAAACAGGTTGGTATTCTGATAGAGTCTATCATGGGTTTATCCAACTAAAGTCAACGGGGCTTTTTACACTGCATTTCGCATTATTTCTGGACAAGTTTCATCTTCATTTATGAAAAGTGTGCGCAACAGCATCTTTCGGCCTCAAAAGCAGTGAGTTGAAAATTCAAACTCAGAGCCTCAGAGTCACAAACCATATTGGGAGAGCCCGGTCGAATTGGATTGGCGTGTGCTTGTCACAATCGACGGTTCAAATACTCTTTAATGATGGAAAATTCTGATGCCACTAACGAAAGTCTGGCCGTTATAGGCTCAACCACCAAACTTTAATATCAGACCATCTACCACGATTATACTTCAATACTGTCTACAGGTGTTCGGTATTTAGAAATAAAATCTTTACTGTAATAATAAAAGAGTATTAACCATGTTTTAACTGTAGTATACTATAACAGTAATTATCAGTTAATTGATATTAATTAACAGGTTTAACTTGAACTTAATCTTTAAACTGGTTTTATTTCACTAGAATTACTGTTATTATATACCCAGTTAGATTCACAACTTCTTATTTTTATTCCTTCAAACTCGTTCTTAATTGTTCCTATAACAACATCATTAAATTTTTTGAGAATTCAAATTGCTTATTTTTTATGTCTCCGTTGACTAAAATTAAAAAGTACTACTCGAGTTGTCAATTTGTATCGTATTAGCAATTGGAATTGGAGCTCGTGTTATAGCAAATACTAGCGGTTGTAATCTGATTAAAAGACTTGTTTCGTTTCGTTTTTTCTCTGTAGTCGTACATTGAGTTGAGTAGCCACAAAAAGACAGGAAACGATAATTTGATCTTCATCAGAATTTTAATTGAATTGAAAGTGTAAATTTAACTAGCAAATTAATATCTTAGATATAGGAATTACTTAGAAATTAAGTTATTTTATTTTTGTGTTATATTTTTAGAAAGACGATACGTGGCAGCCGAACACGACAAGAAACGTAAGTATGAATATGACGTATTGCATACAAACTACATGCAAAACTGTACTTTGATTATAGAAAATTGCCACTTCGCAAAGTCACTATCTGATGGCTTCATAAAACAAACAGGGTGACAGTATTCCACTTCAAAACACAAATCGAAATAGTGTATGAATGAATGAATTGCGAGAGAGACTTGTATTCTCCTTCTCATAACGTTGCTGTGTACCTTTAAAGGAAAGCTTATGTCGCTTAAAAATTTTCATCAGCAGAGAAAAGGACGTAAAACTTCATTCCACACATTTTATGAGAATATCGGCCTCTTCAGAGGTGTTATATCTGTACCAATATGCTGTGATGTACTGAAACCTGCTGAGAATAATTTTACGATACTAAATACATTCACAGCTCTCCATGTGTTCTTAATTGATACTCTCACTGAAAAATATTCATTTAACAGTCTTGCAGCTGTAAATAATTAAAACTCATTACGACTATTTTCATCGAATATAGAATAAATGGGCGGGACCGAATTCTCATCAATATTAAGTATAAAGTGTAATTCCACTGTTAATTTCATCAAAAACTCCCGAGCCAAATTGGTTATTTGAATAAAATAATTTACTATTCGAATGTTAAGTGAATGTTTATTTTCGCTTGATTGTCAAGTTAGTTAAATACTGTTGATTGACTGCCAAAACTCTCTGAAAATCGTTAAAAATGTAAATTGATATTTGAAGAGGTCATGGGTCATTAGAGGCAGGTACTAAATGACTGTTTGTGAGTAAACAGATCCGATTGATAATAAACTACTAGTTGAATAAATAACATAAGTAACAATCTAAACATACAAACCATAAACTAACTGATATACTGTGTCTCGACTATATTTACTATTACTTATTTATTGCTTGGTTTAAGCCGGTGTTGGAACTGCCAATAATAGACCACTGAAGAGCATTGTAACACTACATTAATTTCCTATGATTGAAATATAGTCGCAGACAGATAAAATAGGAATTGTGTTGTAATAATATACTCAGTAAGCTGGGATAAAATTATTTCTAAACATCAAATTTGCAATACAGCAGACTACAGACTACGTTAAATTCTTCAATTTCCCCTTATGCTATAATAACATAACACCTGGCACTGGCTTAGACTTACACTAGCCTGCAATAAAAGACATTCATCTTTATTAAATGAGTGTTGAGGGAGGGAAACCACGTGTAGAATATTGGTATATATGTACAGTGTATATAGATTGTTTATGTATAAAGCTGATTTGTTTATAGTTTAATCTATCATTATAAATATCTTATTCATTAACTGGTATTTACTGGTACATTACACACATACACTGTTAAAATTAACCTGGAATTTCTACCGACTGAAATGGCAAGATGATACTCTCTTAAGACTATTTATCATTTAAAAAATATATTGGAAGAATAAAAACTGTTCATTGTTCGAAATCAGGATAACTTAGCCTATGGTGCCTTATCACGTAATAAACTATAATCCAACTCGCTACAGATCCTCATTACCTTAAGTAACCTGAAAGCAACTTTAACCGCTGATAGAACTTTTTTTACAGTGTAGGATACTAAAGAGAATAATAATCAGCATTCACCAGTAATTAAAAAACCTGGCTGAAATAATCTGTCTTCTACTTAATTGAATCTCTTGTTTTGTGTTGGTTTGTCTTAAAATAGCTTCGTTATGCTAGAAATAAACCAGATAATCTGCGTAAGAAGCTAGACTAGGTTGTTGAGGGTAAAAAACTCAGGGTAAATTAACTGTTTATAGTTCATGTTTCCCATTGAATTATATTAACAAGGTGATTACCCACACTGTAAAATATACAGGTAAATACACACTGTAAAATACAAGTTAAATACACACTGTAAAATATATCAGTAAAACCTGACTGTAAATTGACATTTGTTAGTGTTAATCTTGGCTTGAAAAATGAAATAGAGCCTTTCCTTCTGATTTTTTTCTCCAAATTTAACTTTGACTTAGGCACCTTACAGGTGATCAATTCACCACTAGAATACAGGGCCACGTTTCATCAAATGATCTTCGATGAAAGGTCAAATTTCTAAGGACTAAGGATACCTTCGGATCGTAACATTTGAAGTTTAAAAGCTATTTTTTGTCGGATCAATATGATTTAAAGAAAGATGTCTTATCTACTTTTAGAAGTCCAAGAAATATCATTGGGTGAATTACGACAGGCTCCACTGACCGCTGATAATACAGAAGATGCTGATTCCGTGGTGCACGAAGATGATGTACAGAATCATGACATGAGTTCTCCCAGGTACAAATTTAGAAACAAAGATTAGAATGTTTATCATCCTGAGGCCATGGGATATTGCTTCAGTGAACTTCTGGTAATCGTTTGATAAGGAGATGAACCCTTGCAGTCGTTTTCGAGTAGTATGCAGATATCATATCCATAGAGATGGAATAACTCTAATCATATATACTCATAGCAGGCCTTTGACGATCAATACTGAACTTACATTGTTCATCAGGAACGTTTGAAATGCAGCAAAAAGTTCCCAGAGCTTGCTTACTCTTTAAATATAAATTGTCTAAAGGGTATAATATCATTTGTTTGATACATTTGATGTAATTTATATGTACCTACAAGGAGGGTGTAAAACTCCATTTGATTCAATTTGTATATAGGTACGTGGTTTCAAGTTGGGGTACGTGTAGTGTGACATGTGGTACTGGTGTCAGAAGAAGATATGTCAGATGTCAGGTTTACCTGGTTTATCTTCAGGCTATAGTCGATCTGGCTGATTCAGAATGTGAAGGTTCTGGTAAGTTCTTCGGATTTCGAAGTCTCATTACATCTGTATTATCTACTGGTCACTAAGGGGGTTATCTTATACTGTACATTGTTTAGTTAATGTTATTAATGGAAGTGGAAAATATTTCACCAAGAACAATTTCGGCTCTTCTGTCATCATTTTAGATGTAAAAGATATAGCCAAATTAAGATGCATATTTGACGAGTACGACAACATGACCAAACCTAATGGATTCTTTTCAGATTCTAAACCGATAGAAACAGAACCCTGTTTAGAAGAGCCATGTTATGAAGATTTTATATTTAAAGCTGTTGGTTTCACAGAGTGTACTAGAAGTTGTCTGGGCGGTAAGTCAAATATTACTGGATATTGTTTTTACTGTAATCTTGATCATCCCAATTTCCCCTCTGTAAGTGATGAAGGTCGGAGAAGCTGTCCAGTTACATGTGATCCCCGCCAAGAACTGTGTACAATTCGCATACATATGGATGTCACTATAGCTGTACAAGACTTTCGGCCTTTGGAGGGCATGTGATGACACTTTCTGCGTGCATGAATTTGTTAAGTCGGTATTTCAATCGTAAAGAAAATTTTGTGAGTATATTTTAATTCCAACCAATCTCTTTCAGGTACTCAAGAAACAAAGTTAATTTGTGTTCATAAAACCAATGGAACAACAGTTCCTGATAATCATTGTGAAAAAGCACCTTTGATACCCATAGAACGAAAGATCTGCAACGACTTCTCTTGTCCACAAAGGTACAGTTATGAAACCAGTATAAAATAGATCTATCAAATTGTCATCGAAAGATTAGTTGTAAAATCATGAGATTCTCCTGTTGGTATTTTAAGCACTAAATTAAACTTAAAAATAGGATAATGCCAGCGATTGGCAGTATCATCTGTTATTATATTTGGAGGGCTGCTTTATGTAAATTTCCCAAAAATTATTAATTGAACCCGAAAACGTACTGGTCATAGAGGGTGGCATCTCAAGCTCCCGCGTCTTTAACATATAAAGTACCTGATTGTATACCACTAAACTGATTCTGGTGGTTTCAGGTGGCGTATTGGAGATTTCAGTGAATGTTCAGCTACATGTGGAGGTGGTGTGATGTCCAGAGATGTCGAGTGTATTCAGGAATTTAGTCACGGTGTCGATAACATCCTCCATCTACCAGACTTTATGTGTGAACAACCAGTACCAGAAAGAAAGAGATCCTGTAATACACAAGCTTGCCCTGCGTCCTGGACAACTGGCTTGTGGTCTGATGTAAGTAAACTATCATGATTTCTCTACTGTGAAAATTTCGTAACATTCTACTTTTCAACTGATGTAAGTTACCATTCCAAATATCCTCTAATGTTCCTGACATTCATCGTATAGCTTGTCAAACTAAAGTGGACTGCGTTTGATTAATTAGTTGCAGAAACCATTAATTTTCTATAATCATCGTGAGTCTTGGGTCTCGTGGACCCTATAGGGCTCATGATGCCTAACGAAGGAAGATTTTAACCTCTTTTAAATTTTCTCATTTTCAGTGCTCTGTAACGTGTGGTACGGGGATTCAGATTCGTCCTATCCTGTGTCAGAAACATTCAGGTGATAAAGTAACGGACGTTAGTGATAAACACTGTCGACCTAGTGAACGCCCTGTAGACACACAGCCTTGTAACAATACAGCATGTCCTGTAGTGAGAATTAAACAACAAAAACTTCATTTCTTTCAACTTAACAAGATGAATAAGATACGGCTGGTGGTTGGTACCAAGGCATTCCTTCTTCCAGGAACTAATATCATTGTCAGGTGCCCGGCTAAGGGATTTAATAAACGTATGATATTATGGTATAAAAATGGACGACCCTTAAAGAAAGGGAAAAGAGTGAATGTGTCTGGAAAGGGTAATTTAAGGATCAAAAGATCGCGCCCAGAGAAAGATACTGGAAACTATACGTGTTATGCTGATAGTGTTTCAGCCAATATCAGCATCCAATTCAGTAACTTATTAGACATATTTCAACTGTTATCATTCAGGGAAGCATTTTTAGATGCTAATATCAGTGATATTCAAACTAAAACTTTTAGAGATCCTTTCGATCATAAACAGAAACCTTTAAAGCTAATCCAGAGTGACTGGTCGGGGTGCAGTAAAACTTGTGGAGGTGGTAAACAAACTCGTAATGTAACTTGTGAAATTATAACGGACGATTATTTCGAGATCTTGCCGTCTCGGGTGTGTAGAAATGCAGGGATTACAGTACCCGCTTCTTCTAAAGGATGTAACAAAACACCGTGTGTTCAATGGACTACTGGCAACTGGTCCAAGGTAAGGCTGCTTATATTCAGAATCATTATTAAATTACCCTTTGCCAAAAATATTGTCTTTCATGTGTTGGAAGGATGTTCCTGGTTCTTGTAGAGAAGAGATGTCATTGAAAGCTTCATAATTCGAAAACCGTGTAAATATGTACGGTGCAATTAAAGAGTTACTTTTCTCTGACAACCAACTGTGAGATCTATATTTATCAGTTTGTTTGGCTTCCTTTTTCCCAATAATAGAGTCAGCACTATTGGTTCACTGGTATCTCGTCTCCAGCTGGTATTTTGGGAACGATCAATTAAGACATGTTTTTTTTAATTTCAGTGTGGTACAGATAAGTGTTTTCGAGATGGTTATGCCATACAGTCTCGGGCTGTAAATTGTACACGAGATGGTAGTGATAGAGTAATAGAAGACAGTTACTGTAATCCTGTAACCAGACCTGTCAATAAACAGGAATGTTCCAATATTTTGTGTAAACCATTGTGGAATACTTCTGAATGGTCCTATGTAAGTAATGTGTGTTCATGTTAGTTGTCTGGTTATGATCAAGGAGAAGAATATAGATCTTTGGTTACGATTTAGAAAGTGATATCCATAATTTATGCGCCATTTTATTGTCGAATGGTCAACGCTATTTCTTTTTGTGAGCGATGCAGGTTGACATTGAAAAAGAACCTTTTCTTTGACATGGGGCAATAAACTGTAAGTCCATAATCATTTTATAAAACTTAATATCATTGTCAGGATTAACACCTATTAATACCAATCATTCTGTGACTTTTAATTCCTTATCATTCTATATCATATTATAATTTCAGTGTGTAGCAGGGTGTGGAGAGAGTGGGTTTCAATCTAGAATGTTAACATGTATCTGGTCGGCTAGTGGTCGATCTGCTGGTAGAGCTTGTGCTGAACTCCCTAGACCAGTTGTTATTAAAAAATGTAATGCAGATCCCTGTACAGAAGGTTGGTTAATAGATCTTTATCCTTTGTCCTGTAATGGCCAGTCAGATTTGAAACGAACGCCCTAAACGAACGTTTAGGAACTTGAGAGATCTGTTCCAAATTTTGAGTAACTATAACGGAAGCATGATCACGAAAATGTCAAAAAGTTACAAAAATATGTAGGAAGCAAAACTGTTTTGGGGGAAGGTACAAACGACTCCTCCATCAGAAAACACCTTTTTTCCAACTGTGTTTAAAGATATGTCATATTTTCTATTTCAGAATGTAGAGATGAATATGAACACTGTCATATTGTTAAACTTGTGAAATTTTGTGACAATTTAAATTTCAAACGAACATGTTGTAAAACCTGTACATCGTGATTTGAGAAGATAGGATAAAAAAAGGTTAATACTTTTAGAAATAGTGTAGGAAAGGGACCATATAAAAGGTACTGGATATAGAGTGGTACCTGTCGTGTGAGAGAGCTAATTATTGTGACACGTTGCCAATGGTTTACATTATTTAACTCCTAGGAATATAAGAAAAGGTAAACGATCTGCTGATCGTATGATAAAGTTTCATTTCTTACAAGATTTGTAGTTAAAAATGTAATATAAAACTTAATTAATTATAAATATTATTTAAACATTATGACGATTTGATGTAATAATGAAAATCAATAATTATTTAATATATTTGCTATAATTGAAACAGTGACTCGACCACCTTAGGAACTGGGCTATTCTCTATTGTGGTCCAAGCTCCGAGAACAAAACGGAGGAGGGCATATGTTAAAAAAAAATACCAGGAGAGGGGTCCCAACCCACTGGCCACTGAATTAAAACACAGTAAGAATATATCATGCCGTATTGTGTCTCTGAGAGAAGCTTACCAGATGGGGCACCTGCTCTTGTGTCAGCACTAGAACAATGTTTCCAGACAATGCATGTTACTCCCACTGATAGAAGTTACTGTTAACGCCCACGCAGCCTTCTACGAACTTACTTAATAAGTTTATACACATAATCTGGGAAGGCGGGCCTTTCAGACATTTGCGCTGACCATAGAGAGCCTAGTTTTGTAGATTTGGTGGTATTTTAGGAGGATGTGGTAATATATATATATATAGGCCTATGGGTCCATACAAATATGTAGATCCACGAGTTAATTGAACGCTATCAACCCTTTAAACATCAGACTGGTAATATCATCATTAGAATATCAAAATGGTGAGGATATAGGCCTTAACTGTCTGGGTTTAGATGACGACTCCACCGAGCACTTCCTGAAAAATTGTTGTAGAAATGTGTGTTATAACTTTTGTAACATTTGTAAAGGAAATTTATTTGTACTTGTAAAATCTGACAGAACAGTTCTTGAAATAAAATATCTGATCAACTTGGATTCATGTTTTAATAGGAATTATTTTGAAAGATGCATTGTCTTTCTTTCTTGTATTCATTATGAGTTTTCTGTGGGAAACTTTGGACGGGTGGGGTACCAATGATGAGGTGGGTTGGTGGTGATATAAAAGGTCAGGCTCTCAAACTATCAAAATAAAAAAATGAGCTATCTCTGGTAGTAAATGAGAGAAAACAAATGTATAAAGGGGGATAATAATACTATCCATCCAGAATTTTCAAGACATTATCTGTGGCCTGTAGTAGGTTCATAGTTGATTGAGAAATTATCTGTGGCCTGTAGTATTATCTGTGGCCTATAGTAGGTTCATAGTTGATTGAGAAATTATCTGTGGCCTGTAGTAGGTTCATAGTTGATTGAGAAATGTAAAGATACAATTTGAGATCAAGCAAACATTCAAACAAAGGAAATGATCGATTTGATTGGATTGTACACCAGCGAATACAGCCAATCAGAACCCTGGATAGAGAGACTTTCCATGATACAAGAAAGGTTTTGCATTCAAGGTCTAAATACGAAGTTCGTTATTTAGAATAATCGAAAAAATTACTGTGGTCTGGCTAACTTTTGGAATTACGTCCCTTCGATTATCATTTAGAGTTATGTGCCCTTGAATAAAAATGTCAACAAATCGAAAAATTTAGAAAAATCGTTGTTACAACTAAATAGATCCATTATAAGACTGCAAATATGTCTTTAGTATCTTATTATGACAGCGATGATAATAGTGCAAGCGGCGAGGAAAACGAAGAAGCTATCAAAGTTGAAATAAAAGCCACTAAAACGATAACAACAGCTGAAAGTAAAAGTAGAGAAAATGATAAAACGACCCCAGCTTCACGAGTTACGGTTTTGTCTGGACAGATTAGCGATGATGAAGATGATATGACTGTGAGGCCGAATGATTATGGTGGGATTGGGTCAGGACAGACTGGTAAGGCTGTTACAATATTGATATGAACCATTGCTAAGCTATTTTAAAAAGGCATTGCTTATTCTCGATTTCATTAGGCCTACATTAATTTTGCCTTTGGTATACAAAAGTAAAGTAGTGCATACATGCATACAATTTGATAAATAAATTCAGTAGGTAGAAGTGTGGTGCATTGATAATTGAAAGCTCTACAGCATCATAAAATGTTATTTTTTTTTTTTTTTGGCTTTTTTGAAAGTTTCTAGCCAAGTAACAGCCCATATCATTATGTTCTTTTACAGATGAAGGTAATTTTCTTCACAATAATTTGCCAGTACCCAAAAGTTCTGTAGAAACAGTAGATGAGGCTGGTGTAGTTCTGGATGATAAGCTCGAAGATGAAGTCAAACCAAAAAAATCTCAGATGAAAGATGCTCCCAAACCACCTCCTAAACGTTCAAAACAACCAGTTAGAATAACTATTCCAAAACTTCAGGTTTGTTTTTAATTACTGTATACATGTATTTCCTTATAGAGTGCACAGTTGTTTTTACCTGTTTGAACTCTTATATTCTGCTAATTATTTGCCTTTGCTAACAGATAGAGCTCCATTTCTGCTATCCTTAATCTAGAACATATGAAATTCAACAAAAACCTATTATTTCGTAGTTTAAACTGTCTACACATTGATTGAAAAGGGATGGCTATCCTATACTTTGTGTCCAACAAAATACATTCTCTTTGATAAGGTACATATTGTACATCCATATATCTGTAGAAAATCGATAATTATTGTTTGTGTATCAATATTTCCATACAGGATGATGAAGATGAACCAAAACAGAAGAAAATAAAATTGGGACCATCTGTAAGTTTCGTATTATTTTTTCTTGTTTCAAATGAAAAGCACTATGCAGTTTCAGTGCTTCCAAAATAAAACTTACAATTTTTTAGGAAATGAGACAAAGAAATTATTACGTATTAAACCATTGGATTGGATGATTGTTTAACAAATCTCTTTGATATTTCTCTTGTGTACCCAAAATTGGGTCTTACATATTCAAGATCAATAGACTTTCACTCTTTGTGATTGAAAATAGAACTGATGATGTCACATATAATTTTAGACACAGAAGAGTGGATTGACATCTCTGTTACCTCCACCAGTTCATGCAGTGAAGAAAGAATCTAACAGAATTTTAGTGCCTCACACTTTAAAAAGGAAGCCACCACCTAAGCCTAACGTGGATAAGACTAAAACAGCTAGTAAGAAACCTAATGAAGAGGCCAAGTCTCTGAAGAAATTGACGGCATTTCAAGCAATGACTGGATACGAAAGTGATAGTGACGAAGAAAATTCAAATTCTGGAAATTTCTTTTCATTGGACGTAGATACTGAGAATAATGCTGAACATTTAGAATTGTCGAAAGATCTTCCACCTTGTTTGCCGTCAGTGTCCGATATTCTACCAGACGTGTCAGTGACGTCACAAACAGGGCCTGTGTCCACGCTACCTAAAATCACAGTGAACCCTGATGCACCATTAGGGTTCAATAAAGGACATAATAATCCCTACTCTGGTGCTCTGGTTAATTCACAACCCTCTGTCAGTTCAATAGCTTCAAGTAGTAATAGTCATTCAGATATATCTCAGTCATTTTATAATGTTCCTTATTCACAGGTATTTATCTTATTTTTCATATAGTTTTCTAGGCTGGCAAATGTCCCACTGTACCCAGACTGGCACAGCCACCTGTATTTACAGAGTGTCGGGTATTGTCAGGCATATTTCAGCAGATTTTCTTTGTTTATAGCTGTAACAACATAACCTTTTAGTCTTGAAAGAAGAAGTGTGATATCACCGATTTTTTGTTTTTGAATAATCAGATTCATTGATAAAGATATGGACAAAATCTTTAGCTCAATACTTAGATATTTCCCTGTATTAATGGTGATCTGTTAATCTGGTGATTAATAATGACACAAATTAATGAGGAACCCCACTAAACTTACAGACCTTTGAGAAAGTTATGTGATTTATATCAAACTAAACAGTAGTATCTACAGACCTACCTTTCTTTTCTTATTGATTTTATAATGACTATATTTTGTTATTTGACTAGAATGAAGAATATAGTAATAATTATGAAGAGCTACCACCTGTCAATAAAATACCAGAAGTTGATGATTATCTACAAGATGAACAGGTATTATAATAATTCATTGTTCTCCATTCAAACTTTTTCCATTGACCATGTACTTCTATTTAATAATCACAGACCCTTTTCTCCACTTAACTTCAAATGGAGTTTTTGAGATAGTGACGTCATATTTTGTCAAGTCTTTCAAGGATTACTGGACCCACAGTCGTCAAACAGGAAATTGGATTGGTCTTTATGGAAGCTAAAGGTGTACCCAATTCTCATACAAATACTAACAAACATCTTCACAATTCCTTTAACCATGTCTTTACAGTTTCTACGAATACAAGGAAAGAAACGGCGTGGTAAAGAAGATATTAATATTATTGAGGCCAATATGAATGATTATATTAATAGTAATGATATTGAACTAACTAAAACACTAACTGAAGAATCCACACATCAACCTCATAGAAATAAAGACAGTATGCCCACTGGTAAAGAAAAACGTAAACATCAAATTACCTACCTAGCTTTCCAGGTAAGGATTTTTATGATTTTTCAATTTTTGATGAATTTAACGAATAACTAACTAGTGACTCAGATAGTTTTATTAGGTGACTTTGTGAGGTAACTAAATATTTTTGTGCTTGTAGCAAAGGAGGAAGAAGGCTATATAGCTCAAATCCTATATAAACATTATCTTTTTGACAATTTTGTTTGGTCTCCGGAGCATTCCTGCCATTTGGTAAAATAAATGAATTCTGGTTGATATCTCAGAATTGCTTCTTTCACCTACTATAGCTAATTTGTTTTCTATTTTCAGGCTAAAGAAAGAGAGTTTGAACTGAAGAATGCCTGGGCTCAAGGTCGAGCTACTAAACGTCAAACTCAGTCTAAATATGGATTCTAAATACAGCTACTATCAGGGGACGATTTATTGTATAAATTCATTTAAATTAATATTATTTACAGACATTTTGTGTAATATTACTAGAGATGAACTTGATGTAATCTTATCAAATTTTAGTGAAACTGAATCTGTCTAAATATGGATTCTAGATATAACTACTTATTCACATCACATTGTATAAACTCATATACTGTACCTTGATATGAAATTTAAAGTCATTTTATGTAATACCACCAACAAGAAAATGAACTCTGCAATAAACTCAGTAGTCTAAGCCACTGTTTCTATTTAATACAATGGGTTAAGAATTGAAATGGAGATTTACTTCTAACTTTCCTGAATGTAGCTGATAAATACAAACATTAACCTTTTAATATCTACACATCAAATTCAGTTTCAGTATGTGTAAAAAAGTTTTCCAATTTCGAAAAGGAAAGTTGTCTTGACAAAACCACCGCATGGAATCAGATTTTCTATAGGGGTAAGCATTAGTGCTGGCACGATATATCGGTGAATTGATACGTGTATTGTATCCTGAGGTCGTGTATTAATTGTTGTATTCCATAAATAAGTGGGGATTTGATAAGTTGTTTTATAAGTGTGTCCAGAGCAAATAAACAGCCATAGTTTTATAAATAAAAAAAAGTATTTATTAAATATAAAATTTGGAATGCTAGGCCTAATATAAATAGAAAAATATTTATGAAATATGAACGATATAAAAGATGGTTGAAGAAATTTGAAAAATATCTTATATTTACATTAAATAACAATATACAACATATACAATATAATGGTTGGCAAAAGGAAATGATATTTCAAAATCAACCACAAGATATGTTACATAACAATACACAATACAGTGGAGCCCTGGTTGTCGATAATCTGGAAACCTCTATTATATATACTATTAAATAATAATTTCAAAATCAACCACAACATATATTATCTTATGTTAAATCAGAATTAATTTCTGAGACAAGTTTTTCAATATACAATAGCACTAGTTTGATTCATACATCTTAAAACTTATAACCAGAACTTTTGATATAATTTTCTTTAATTGGCATGAACATGAATTAAAATTATAAAGATGTTTTTATGGACTACAACTACTATTTTATTACAGGCAATATTGTATCTAGGGTTCTCTGATAATCTATCATCTGATGATACTAGAGAACCCTGGATGAAACTTCATCTGTAACAAAAATAGTAGTCTTATTCCATAAAAACATTTTCTTAACATAGCTGTAATATTCATGCAGACAAATCTAAAAATGTTATAGAATTCTTATAAGGACCTGCCCCTATTTTAACTATTTACAATAAACTACAAGTAGATATACCTATATATATAATAAATATGACTAATGATGAATAGAAAATGGACCTTAAATGATCACACGTTTAAGAATACATGTATATACAACTTTTACACCGTAATTCTATATTGCACGTTTATTTCCTTGAGAATCATTACTGCTATGTACAAAATAAAACTGTAAAACTAAAATTTACAAACATGGAAAAGGAAGATAAAGGTATTTTTTGATTAATTTTACTTTGAGCGCAGTTTCGTATTTTGACATTGAAAGGTCAAATTTGAGATTTAATTTAGATTATCTAAGTGTTTTGTACAAGGATATAGTAAGTGGTATCGTATTGTCAACTGATAAGTGCTTTATTTTAACTTGAAACATCCTTGCAGGAAGTAATTACCATGAGACAGTATATAAAACTAGAATTAGACTATTATTATGTCATGTAGTATGTTTCTTTTTCCCACTAGCAGTCAGATTTTCATTTTGAAAAGGGATACAGATAGCTATCAGCAAATTTCATGTCCATTATTATTTATACATATGACAGTCATACAAATCATTTTTTATACAATACTAGAAAAATCTCATCAAATTTAATTTAATACAACAATTTTGACATTGGGATCAGAACTAAAAGTATGGGAAGAAAGAGACAAAATGGATAAACTATTTCTAAATAATATTTCTGACTAAGTTAGGAAAGAGTATAGGCCTAACCATGTATTTTTTGCTTCTATAATTGAAACTGAAAGTAGGCCTATTGAAAACTTATGAAGCAAAAAACATGCGCTGAGCACTTAAAAGTTTTTGGCATTACAATTTAAGGCACTAGGATTTCTATATACAGTATAATTATGAATATAATGCACACCTTTTCTTACACTCCAATAAATCTTGAAAATTCTGTCACCTTTGACAAATTCACACCACCTCCAAATATATTGAGATTATCAATATTGAGAGTTTACTTCGTATATCTTGTTTAGTTTTTAAATTAGTGACTTTAACAGAATACCATGCCTGGTCATTATCATCCCCACCAAGCTTTTGGATTAAGGTGTGAACTCTGGCCCCTCCCTCTAAGCATTAGGAGTACCATTACGAGCTGGATACTGATCTATTCCTTCACCGCCATTAATAGACACAGTCTTTGTACATTGAATTAATGGAGAATTTTCATCATCAGAATCGTAACATATCGTCTTTCTTACACGTTCTTTATTTCCAGTTCCTTTTATTGGTGACTTTAATAATTTCACACCTAAAATACAAACACATAGATTAATAAATATCATTCATTTCATATTTTAAGGACTGATAACAACCATCTAAAGTATAACAGATATTATTAAACATGGACAATGATAACAGTGATCGAGTAGGCATACAGAATTGTCATGTAGAGTTTACAGGACTGTCTTATCTCTATGTAAAATAATGAGAAGGGGGGAGGGGTGTTGTAAATGAGGGATTACCTCAGTTCTTCACTCCAATAGAAACTATAAAATCTTAGTGTTTCGACTGCTGCCATAAACATAAATACTACAAAGGTCAATAGCCCCTTCCTGGCCCCTAGTCTCCTATTGAAACCCTTATTTCCCATTAAAGAAAGACCCCCAATAATTCCCACAGTAATCAAGATAACTCACTGTCACGTTTTCTAGTACCAATAACTTGAGGCAATAAAATGAGCAGAAACACCAAACCAAGTACAGCCACACCGCCAGGTACAAAAGATATTATGTTTCTATAGTAACCAATACATAATGGACAGCAACCCCTTAAAATGCCACTAGAGAAATTAATACACAATATTAGATAACATTAGTCAACCCCAGCTTGTTGAACTGTGATTCCTCTGAAAGGTATCACGACAATCGTTTAAATCAAAATGTTATTTCAGAGAGGTGAATTTGTAAAATAGGTAGATGGACAACATTAAGGTACAAGACAAACATCTAATCTAAATATTTATATTAAAATTAGTGAGTTGTCAATAGATGTTATAAGTTTCATGCAGTATGAGTTTAAAAGATATTTATTGATTTAAAAGACTACCACCGAAGATAAACAAGGAGTTTTACATCCTACTTTTTTAACTCACAGATCCACTGTATTAACGTAATCAATAATTACTATATCAGTATCTGTTAGCAAAGCAGATTGCAATATCTACATTACCTAGCCATCAAACCACCATGCTGTTAGTTAGAAAACAAAGTCAAATTCTATCAATATAAAAATTAAAGTGAAAATATAGGATAACTATAAAATATAGGGGCTGGGAGATAATCCTTTTTCCCATTGAACACAAATCCCCAAGTTTTGTTACAGGCTGTTTTTCCTATTGATGTCAGTAGCTGGAGTAATACTTCAGACTAGTATATAAATATCTCCACATATTATCATTAATTTGACCTACAAGAACACTAGCACCGTTATCATCAGTCTAATTAAAATTCTGTTATTTTTTCATTATCTTTTATTTTCAATATAGCCACTTCAGTTAGTCTAAAGACTGGCCTCTTTATCATTCGTCAAAATAACCTTTCGACCTAACCCTGCTTAACCAATCAAATTTGTGTTCTCTCGAGCTCTGGCATTTTGTGAGAGAGTGACGAAATGTGATTGGTTAAAGCAGATGTCATTAGATTAGGTCAAAGGGTTATTTTAATGAATGTTCAAGAGGCCAGTCTTAAGACCTTAACTGAAGTGGCTATATTAGAAATAAAAGCTAATAAAAAACAGAACGAAAGTTTGATCTAATTTTAATTAAACTGTGTTATCATTAGTAAAAAATATGGACTGTAACCTAAAGATAAAACATGCAGATATATAGGTCAACATTTATAGATTCACAGAAGAAACATGCATCATGCATTCCATATACACTTATATACATATACACTTTGCAAAGACTGGTTTTTACTATGGATATGAAGTCATCTACTTTATTGTTTAACTAACAATGACCTCTATTGGTTCAACAGCAAGCACAATACAAGCATGATTCAACAAAGAAGTTTCAATATGAGTGTTCAAAAAATCAGGATTTTAACAATTTAACAGTGTCGTATTGCCAACTTACGTGCAAGGATGAAATATCTGTATTAATTCTATAGCTATACCATTTGATAGTTTATCTGTAAAACTCATAGCTCCATACACAAACGCTCCAGATTCCTACAAAATTAAATTTCTAAAGATTGAAAAAATTGATTTGTCCCTTAAACTACTTCCTATTGTGACAATTTTATTCAGTATAAAAGATATTATATGCTCAAAGTAAGCAAAGTTTTAGAGCATGCTCCTTCCAGAAGATGATAGCAATATTCCAGTCAGTTCTCCAATAAACCTAGGAATTAAGGCACTGTTGCTGTTTCACCCCCCTTCCCCTTCTGTAGAGTTAACGATTTGGAATTACTCCAAGACATTGGCATATGAAGAACTCCATCAACAGGATTTGTAGAATATGTACTCTGTCAATTTTTCAAGAAGATACATATATGAAAATATTTCAGCATATGAAAGATGGCAATTTACCGTATTCTCTCCAATTAAATCAGCCGTCATAGCTAAAGATGTAATTAACATGGTGGAACCACCAATTCCTAATAAAACAGCTGCACCATAGACTAGATTAGCCTGGTTTTCACTAATAAAATAAAACCAGACACACGACCCGATTCCAATAACACCTCCGACTAGATATGTTAGCTGAAATAAACCAGAATCAAAAATTTTGTTTGAAATCAAATGGAGCACTGTTTAAAGATTTTGAGTCCAGCGCACACAAGACAATTGTCTGAATGCCCTAATAGATTCAAGGTATACATGTCACAAGCTCATTCCAAATTTATGGTAGCTATAGTTAAGGCTGCTAGGGTGCTCCAGTTGCCACAAAAGTTGCAGTCAGTGGCCAGATACATACAAATAAATCACCAAAGCACATCATGGACAAACAATAAACAATATAGATCCAGATCTGATTTTGAAAAGAAACTCCTACCTTTCTGCCAATTAGTTTATTTATAGGTTTCATTACTAATGATGTAACGAATCCACTACTAAATACTATCAGAGGAATGATAGCTATAATTTTCTAGAAATAAATACAAGAAATGAATCATTTAGAAATTAATATATAAAGACACATTTCTCAAAAATATCTTGTAAATGAACTATTTCTTTATCTTATTTTATGCCTATTAAATTCGACAGATGGTTAATTAAGCCAGGACTGGCTCCTTTCTTGGGCATCCGACCTCCCCCACCATTCCACCTGTAGAAATGCCAATGGTGACAAAGTATTTATTCTTACCTTTTCTAGTTTTAAAGATTCTACACAATATTGAGGTAAATATACCTGAGAAACATTAACAAACAACCTGGTAGACATATATATACCACCAATCTATAAATAGATATTAATATAATTTATAACAGACAACCTGGTAGACATATATATACCACCAATCTATAAATAGATATTAATATAATTTATAACAGACAACCTGGTAGACATATATATACCACCAATCTATAAATAGATATTAATATACTTTATAACAGACAACCTGGTAGACATATATATACCACCAATCTATAAATAGATATTAATATAATTTATAACAGACAACCTGGTAGACATATATACCACCAATTTATAAATAGATTATATTAACTTATAAGTTAGATTACTGAGACATTTTTAAAGGGATTGTATAAAGAGGTTTTCGAAATTTCTTATGTGTATCAGGGACACTGATAGCATCAATTTACACACTTCCAATCTTCAATCAGAAGTCTGTGGTTCCTGCAATTCCACTAAAACTAAGTGTTTGATGACATCACTAATTGCCAAGTATGCTTTATCAGATAAGGCCCTTCACCAATAGTGTCATCATCAAATTGATGTTATGAGTGTCCCAGATACACAAAAATTAGAAATCCTCTTTAACAAACATTGACACACATTTATAAATCATAGTTTTTTTGAAACCACAAGGTTTTAAGGGTGTGTTAATTCTTAACACTTTATCAAAACAACCACCTTTTTATGATTTTAGTTAACATTTTTAAACAGTCATAAAACTTCAAGTCTATTTTTATACTTTAAACTCTTTTACCAAAATATAAAATATAATTTTTTATACAAAAACAATTCAATTTTTAAAACAAAATCGCAATCATTAATGAATTCATTTCCCAATATTTTTTTTATTTTTTTGAGGTCAAATAATTTCATAAGATCAAAGGAAAATAAAAGTTTAGATAATTTCACTTCCTGGTAGAAATTGAATTTTTTTGTTAATGTTTTTAATTAATGAAGAAATTAATTAATTTTTTGCCAGAATAACATAATTTCCTCAAATAAAATAAGTAATTTTATCACTTTTTTATATTCATTTTCTCTGAAAATGACACCCCTGATTCTACATCTTGATTCATGTTTTCATATTTGTTAAGATCTATACTAAACTTATACTAAATTTATCTAAATTTATCCCTGTGCCAGTGCCTTCAGTTTAATAGTGACTAGTTTGTTGTCAATAGCAACTGGTTTCTTTTCAACCACTCTAATCTCTATACATATCCATTAAAAGTTTGGAAATTCATATTGGCTTTATATATCACCATCAGAACAGTGGATAGTGCTGGGCGAATTAATTAATTAACCTTGCTCCTATTGTTTCTATGGGTGTAGGAGGCATGATGAATCAGAGAATCATTCCCCTCACTTCAAGCAGGGACGAAAAAGATAAAGGCACCTGTTTCTATCAATAGTCAACTCTCTCCATAATAGTAGGTAGTCATAGAGAGAGTTAACTATTGATAGAAACAGGTGCCTGTGGTTCAGGCTGAATAAATGGCAAAAATGTTGAGAAATGTCATCTGCCTTCAAAATGTGTAAGGGCTCGTATAAATGAGAATAATTTATATAATCAAATACCTGATAAAACTGTGGTTCTTTTAGCCAACATTTGACAGTCATTTTAGCCTTAGCTAACATAGACTTCTCTATAGACATACCAGATTCCGAATCAGAGAGAGCATCTCGGACTGAATGTCCAGCCTCTATTTCTAGACTCTTCTTCTTCTCCTTAACACCACAGTGAAATATTATACTGAACACCAGTCCAATAGCAATAACTATGAACACTAATAACTGAAACAGAATTGAATTTAAAAAAAATTAGAAATATATATTAATTAAATTAAATCACAGGTAAATAAAATGAAATGGAGTTTATCTAGTAGCATGAAAGGACTTGCTATCAAAACAACTAGATGCTTTTTCCATATAACTCCACCAACTTGTATCACAGTCAGAGAGAAACCAGTTGAAAAAACTGAAGCCCTGTCATAAAGTATGCCTATAGGTAGCTACAGCAGATCTATCATAGATAAATTAAGTAAAAATATAGGCACAATTCTACCTGAAAATTGGGAGCATCAGCAGCTGAAAGTTTAGTAGTGTCTAAGGAATGTGAGGTACTATGAAATTGAAATAATAACCAAAACACAACAAACACTGTTAAATTAGATAATACTGTAAACGCATATCTGTAATATAAATATAGTAAACTTTCAAAAGAAACAATTGGTTTACTGTTTACTTAATTTGATTTTTGAATATGGGTCTGGTGACTACATGAGAAATATGTCGAAACATTGCATAAAAATGTTTTATTGATTTGTTAATAAATTTCTTTAAATCCATCATGACACAGGTGATATGCATTGGCCTCAACAACGGGGGTACATGGTGGATTTTGACCCCCAAATCATGTTTCTTATACATTTTTGCCCCAAAAATGTGTCAGAATGTTCATAAATTAAATTAATCAAATCTACACTCTTCCGCATTGAAATCCCAAACCTGTTAGCTGCCCAAATTTAGTCAGTCAGCCCCTATTTGTACCGTTAGTTCCAGGAAGCTGGCACCACCACTGGTGAGATAAAATATAGTAAATAATATATACACACCTATAGCCATTGAGTCCAACTCTCTCGCCCTCATCTGGTGTTATATCAGGTATAAGAGACAGGTGAGAGATCTGAGTTGAGGCCCAACCAAATTGAAATATCACAACAAATGGTGCATAATAAATAAACTGAGCCCAATCTGGACTGCTCTCACATTTTATACAGAGATTAAATAGAAATGGAAAACTACACAAGACACTAATAGTACCTGAAATATACAAACAGATACTATCTTTAATAACTTGGTTCATTTCATTTCTACCCCACAGGATCGACTCCTGGCATAAGTTAAGATAGTTTTCCCATGTCCATGTTACCCAAGGAACCTCACCCTAAGGTTGAGAAGGAAAGAATGTCTAGTAGTTCAATAAGACCATACAGCTCAATCAATTTAAGGAGATAAATGTAGTGGTCTATTGTGGTATATTTATCAGAGAACAGTGCAAAAATATCAGACATTTGGAAACTAAAGAATTTCAGCAATGATACAGTTTGATACTTGATAATTATAAATGATACTTACCAATAAGATGCCATGTTTTTCGTTTTCCAAGATTAAAAATCCCATTAGTTCTATCAGATTCGAAGCCAATAAATGGCGTACACAGAGCGTCACTGATTTGACCAATCAACATCAAATTACCTGATAATACATTGTTAAATTGTTTAACTTGGTGGAAAAATATCAATAAATAACTAAACCACATAGACGCACAGAGATCATTTAATACATGGCCTACACTGTAGGAAAATCTCTGTCTTTTAGTCAGCACCATTTTGATTTTTTATCAGGAATGTTTGACAGGATTAAGAGAACCAATTTATCTCTGGAACACTTTCTAAGGTAAGTCTGTTGTTGTGGGATAATGGTAACGCCACAAAATGATATTTAAAGTTTTTAGTACCAAAGTATGATTGTTTTTGTCAGCTAGGTTTCTCTAACACTTCATAAAATTACATACAGGTGCTTGCTTGAATAAACACTTTTTAAAATTCTCCAAAATACTAGATATCAGAGATATTATTCGTTATCAGCACCTTCTATTCCACGCTATTTGTCAGCTTGTTTTCCCTCTTCCTCAACACTTGAAACCAATGTCCTGTTTGGCTTGTCAGCTTGCTCATGAACACCTTTCAAAGCTCTTAATATCAATGTGCAATTGTCCACTTTTCTTTGGAGTGTACGTCTCAGTTTTATTCACCTAACACTTTAAAACACTTCGATTCTGATTTTATTGCAGAAGTCAATTTGGCTTTTACAACTAATCATATTTCAATAAGTTAGATGTTTATCTAATGCAACTTCATCCGTCTTCACTGTTTCACAAGTCTTATTTCTATTTCCTTAGGAATGTATCCTGACAGAAGTACACTGTTATCTGAAATAATTAGAGCAAATTACAGATAACAATAGAAATAAACAGTTGAATTCAGTTCACAATAGATAATGATATCACTTACTCTTTTTTTTAATATATGATGAAATCTTTACTCACATGGTTTCAAAATATCAAATGACTATTAGAGCAGGGTTGTTGATTAGGCCATATTTGCCTGTTTGTCTGCTCAAAATGTCCAAATGAAAATAGCCTCAGTCAGACATCAAAATAGGTCCACGACTAGAGATAAGTAGCTTACAGCTTAAGATATTTTTCAGTGGAACCCTTAAAAATCAAATTATGCCAAAGCCATGAAACACAGTTTTACTTAAATTTTTTGTCTATTTTGTTCTGTGATAACTGTTTTGTAAGTTATTATTTGCAAATAAAATATGTTTAAACTATATTCTGAAAGTATCAAAATTTTAATATTCACATATTTACCTTCATCAAATTAAAGTTAATCACCATGTTTAATTAAATTACTGTTAAATGTTTAAGGTTTGTCACCCAATCAAAAGTATCCTACCAGGCTAGATCTAGATCCTTCTGTTGAATAGTAACTTGTCACCTTTCAACCATCCTAGCTAATCTCCATGAATTAGCTGAAAGAGAAGACTTAAGTCATCCAAAGAGTAAATCTAACTATATTACTCTGAAACAGAAGACTGTGAATCCTAATATAAATCTATGATCATGAATTGTATTTACACCATGTGATATTCTCTAACATCCTCAATATTTCAGTCATATGATAAACATCTCAGTTTCTAGACTCTCACTATCTTCCTCAGTACTATATCATAAACAGGGAATAGCTATTGCTTTATCATTTTTAAACACACATGTCATTTCAGCCTTCAAATCATTTTGTAATATGTAAAAATATATTGACCATTTAATTATGTGACCTAACCTAATAGAGGCTGAAAAACTTAATCAGATATTGAAGAAAAATAGTCTTCCATCTTAATGAATTTAAAAGCAATATGGTTTTAAGTATACCCATGTTTCAAATGAAAACTTGAATAACAATATGATGCCATGGTATTTGTATTCAGATTAAGTTTTTACTAATGTAGCAAAAATATACCACTATCATTAGCATGGCTTTTCTAGTACTAAAGACTAAAATCACCCCCACCCCCCTCAAAAAAATGCCACACCTGTCCCGTAAAATAGGTTAAGTAAGCTTATTGGGGCGTAACAACGTTATCTTAATCAATCTTGGATTTTAATTTAACTAGGCCTAGAGATTGCAGGCAGTACTTACTTTTCTTCTAAGTTTTCTTTTAGTGTAGTTACCGTACTTGTCTTATAAAAAGTCAAGCTAATCTAGGCCTAATCATTATCATACATTTCAAAGGCTTGTCACAATGATGTTTTCTATATCAAATGTGACCATGCTAACCTAACTCGAACCAGTCACATGGTGACCCAATATTGATCAAAACCTGAAAAAAGTCCATTTCATTTTCAACTCGTAACTGTCACGAGAAAAGATCCGGTTGTAAACAAAGTCTGGTCATATGACAGGTCATGTGATTTCATGGTCACGTGATCTGTCAAATCGTAAAAAAAGTACTGGATGACCAAAGCTTGTTTACAAAAAAAAGAAGCATGGCTGACAAAAATGAATTTATTCCCTGTATCGATGAAAAAACTGCTGTTAACTTAGAGAACAGATTAAGAATGTGTTTAGATTTTGTTTCTCCCTTTAGATGGCTGATAGAAGCTTACGTCTCTGTGAGTTTTCCATTGATATGTTAACTGCAATTCCTTAAATTTTCTATAGCTCTGTTGGTTTCACAATTGCAAATATTTCATCAGTCAGAGAGGATAGTTGTCCTGCCTATTCTATCATTCCTTCAAAAATACACTTACAAGTCTGCAAAACTTTGATTTCTATGCCTACCCATTACAAAATCTTTCTACAGTCTAAGACTGTGAGGTTAGTACTTTTGTGAAATTAACATAATTGGTGAAATACGGTTAGCCAACAAATATGAGGATACAAAATCTTGAAGAAACCTTACAAAATTGCTGTTCATTTTATTTCACTTCATATTATCCAATCAAATGATCTATGTTTTCTTATATTAAAGGATTTTTTTGTGAATAATTTGTGGGATAAGCTTCTGCCATGTTGGAGAAGAAAGTTAGAAATGATGTCACCTCCCCAACAATCTGTTCTGTTAGATAGCGCAGCCTTCACTGAGAATAAAGATTTACAGTTGAGTTGTTTTTTGATAGTAAAGTAAACAAAATGAATGGATTTGCATCGATCTATTTTTCCCCTTTTTAGGTTCACCTGTCAATCACGTTGAATTTATTTGATATAGGCCTATACAGATTATGATAATATAAAATAAAACATAAATAGGAAGGATTGAACAGTGGAGTGACAGTAAATTGAAATAAGTCATTACCAAATTAGGCTTGAATCTCTATACTTTTTTATATTAAACATGGATGTAACTTGTTTTAAACAATATTTATTCATAATTTATACATCCAGAGATCACTGATGGTTTCAAAAACTAGCCCTAAGCCCCATTTATACGACTATGTTTACTTATATAAGTAATTATACTTACGTAAGTATATATACTCGTATAAACGCTTTTACTTACGTAAGCAGATATATTCCAGGAGTATTTTACTTCACTTCATAGAGGTCGTGCAAAAGTATATTTACTTATAACCAATTATACTCCAGGAGTAAATATGCTTATCTGAGTAACATTTGGCTGTATAAACAGGGCTTTAGGTAACTTAACAACGTAACAATATTTTTTGTATTTTTTCAGAACATTGCTACCGTTATCAATGCTGGCCTATATTAAATGTATTGACAGTCTTTCACTCAACAGACAATGTGTAGATTTAGACGAGTCAGAAACAGTTCAAGAAATCACTTCAATGCTTGTGGACTGGAATAGTTCACAAATGCAAGAACAGATACTTTTAGAAACAAAGGGCAAGTTTGAAGGGAAATATACACAAGGTAACAAAGAAAGGTGTGACACACTGACAGCAAATACTGACAGATCTGATAGCAAGAAAAGAAAACTTTCTCCAAGTTCAATGATAAATGGTCAAGATTTCTCTCTGCGTAATGTTTTTAGAAAACATGTGAAACCAAAGAAACAACATGAAATTGGAAGATTAGCTAAGGTAAGGTTGTTTCAATAAATACTACTACTAACTTTGACCCAGTACTAATTTCATTTCAAACAACTAATTTCCAAAATAAAGAAAGTGATGCACATGCTAGGATTATAAAATAATAAGAAAGCCACTCCCCATATCTCTGTCAATCATGTTATAAGTAATTTACAGCATGTTTTCATTCGTTAACGAATTTAAACAGTCCTGCCCTTGGACTCGGTGTTCAAATCAGTTAACTCATGAAAATTGTCGAGTTCGAAATCTCCTCAAGGTAAGAAAAAATTCTAATACCTGTGCTTCCGAGAGTCTGCCTGATGTCTGCTTTCGCTCCGTAATACCGAAAAATATTACTTATACCAATTTATTGTTTCTAGGGAGTAAGTATAGTAAGTGAAGTTAGTCAGTGTAAGAATATAGTAGATGTTGGAGCAGGGTTAGGACATCTATCTAGAATATTAGCTTTTAATCAGGGTTTAACAGTCACGACAGTAGAAGCTGCTGGTACTCACGCACCTAAAGCATTTAAATATGATAGGTATGTAGGTTGTTTCTACCTTCCCATCATGCGATATTTGTAACTTAAAGGAATTTAAATGAAATTTCTACTCTTTGTATACCTAGGGGAGCTGTGGTGGCTCAGCGAGTTAGACATTGGCTTGCTAACTTGAATGTCCAGGGTTCAATCCAGGCAATGTTCTAGATCATAGTTGTAAGGTCCTTCCAGAGGAACTTTATCAAATGTTGTGCATTTGAGTGTTTACATATTGTTTTACTGTTTAGATACCAGAACCTGTGTTTTCTTTTGTAGGGAAATGGAAAAGGATATAAGTAAAGCTTTAAAAAGAGTAAGTTTCTATGTGATATCTCACTTTTGATTCCCAGCTGTTGAAATGTCTTTCACATGTACATCCTGTAGAACTCCAGACCTCTGTAATTGTTCAGATGAAATGAAATTCCATTCCATGTCAACCATTGCCAATGGAACCAAAAAACACAAGAAAACACAAACTCAAACTCACAATGTTTATCTGTTTTTCAGTTACCAAAGGGAGAGACTGAATCGGGTTCGGTTGAAGTGAAAAGTTTTGATCAAGTTTTACCAAGTCATGTTGTATGTAGGATATCACCTGATATCACTCCCCAGCACTTTCTTCAACTTCTACAGCAGAAATATACAGAACCACACTGCCAAATCTCTACTGACAATAAACATAGCCTTGAGGAAAACACTTCCAGTGATCGTGCCTTAAAAGACTCAGAATTTGAAAGTGAAAAAGATGACCTTTCTTATAATTACCCTAGTCAACCTTCAGCTGGTGATTTCAAAACAGAAACATGTGTGTCTGATAAAGAAAATCGAAAAGAGTGTGTGGAATTGGCGGATACAGACAATGACCAAAGTGAACTATCGACTGGTGATTTTAGAACAGCAATATGTGTGTCTGATGAAGAGAAAGAGTGTTCAGGGCTAGTAGAAGATAAAAAGTTAATATTATGTGGTCTCCATGCTTGTGGTGATTTAACCTCGACATTATTAAGAATGTTTGTATCATGTGATAATATAGTAGGTGTAGCATCTGTTGGCTGTTGTTATATGAAATTATCTTGCAGGTAATAAATAACTCCTTTATTTTATAGTCAAAATTCAACTTGGGAACACTGATATCATCAATTTGCACCATTCTAATTTTCAGTCAGATGTGTTTGGTTCTTGGGATTCCACTAAACCTATGACATCACTGTTGCAAAAGTTGCTGGTAACAGTCAATGGCCGTTGCAACAGTAATGTCATGAAATGCTTAGTTTTAATAGAATTGCAAAAACCACAGCAGCTGACTGAACTAAAAGTTGGAATGGTGCAAATTGATGATATCAGTGTCCCTGATTTATATAAAAAGTGTAGAAAACCTCTTTACAAATCCTTTAATTTTTTGAATTAAACCCAGATGTGATGGATTTTTTAAGCTGACTACACCAACATTTCAGAGTTATCAGTAGTTTTCTGTTTTTAGATGTGATTCTAATAACCAACTAGAAACTGATGATAATGATGGTTATCCAATGAGTAATTTGTTAAAATGTTACCAGATCATCAGTTAAGTTATGCTGCTAGAGAGATGGCGTGTCATTTCATTGATGTATATAAAGACAGGTTACAAGGTAAGTGTCAAACAGTTTGTTTAAGGTATTAATATCATTTTTCACTCAAATATTGTAGATATTTAAAGGAATGATAAGACAACTTTTTATTAGGGGATACTGTCAATTTGCACCATTCCAATATTCAATCAAAATAATCAAAAGCCCTTAGATATTTTTATCACCTTTTGAAATCCTCTTTAAAATCCTTCAACACTTCAATAATTTCTGTTTTTTTAATGGCAAACATTGTGTACTGAATTGGCAAATTACTTTTGTTTTTATTTAGATGACAGTGACCATTTAAAAGTCCATTGTTATAGAGCTGCATTTCAACATATTGTAATAAAACTACATCCCGAGTTTGATAGAGGGAAGATTAAATTAACAGTAAAACATGCTACAGATCTACCATTTGAAAAGTAAGTTGTTAAACTTTTTACAAGTTTTTCCTTGGTTTATACATGACTTAAAGAGATGTAGTATTTAAATATTTAAATCACAGGATAAGCTGGATGTCTGATTTAGATTTGAGGAAGTGTATTATCCATGAAGGTCATCCTTGCCGGGGGAAATTGGATTGGAAAATCCAACGGAAATTATTTTCAAAATGTCTAGTTTGGCTTCAGGATTCAATTAATTTTGGTTGTGATAAATTATAATTAATGTTTTTATTTATAATATATATTATTTAGATATTGTAAGATTAATCTGAAGAAACTGGGATATAATGAAGTTATACCACAAGACTTGATGTTAGAGGCTAAAGTGTATTTAAAACAATGGAAGAACGTCATGTCTTTTTATACCATCAGACTAGCTTTATCTCCTGTTTTAGAGACTATTATTTTGTTAGATAGGATGCTCTATCTTTATCAACATGGTAGGTTTTAATACATTTCAATTTGTTAATCATTGAAACTAAACTATAGAAAGTTATGCCAGTAGGGCATACTATTCATCTCATTGGTACAACAATTCGAGATGAGAGATGTTCAGTTTACTTTCAGTTTATTTACTTGCATATCTTAGCTAATCTGTCAAATGTTTTAAAAGCTATGCCAGAAGGGAAAGTTTTTCAACTCAACATTTTTTTTTTCCTAATAGAAGCACAAAATATTTATATTCAACCAGAGGATGGTCACATAACCAAAATATGTTTTTGTATTTTCAGGTATTACAAGTATTTTAGTTCCTATATTTGACCCTAAAATATCACCTAGAAATTTTTTACTGTTATCACATAAAACATAAATAAATTGGTTGATCATATTTAAAACTGTTGTCTTGCATATTCGAACACTGGTGATGGGAGGGTATTGGTTTTGAGTAAATATACAGTCTCTGTCTATCTATAATTCGGAAAGAGTAAAGGAACTACTGCATATATTGAGCACTTAAGTCTCCAAAAGAGTCATAAACAGCAAAAAAATAAAGTTATGATTTTAATATTTATTGTAAATCTGAGTTTCTATGGTAACAATTATATAGATAATTTAAAGATGGAAGCTGGTTTTGGAAAAACAAATAAATTGTTACAACATAAAGTTGGAAAAGAAAGTCATTATTACAAAATACATAGACGTCTGCATCATTTCACCAAAATAAAAATCCTCGCACTTTTGTTCATATATCGAATTTTACTGTTTATTATCTTTCAAAATAATTTTCACCTTGAAATGACTATAATCTATATTGCAAAACCAACACATCTTTGAGCTGTCATGTGACATTTTGCAGCAAAAATTCATCAAGATCAATGGTTTGCAAGGTCCTTGTTAAGAAGTTATTTAAAAATATACATTTTAACTCATATAAATACAATTTCCTTTTCTTAATTTACATCATTTCTTGAGAAAACTAAAGTCTGATAAATTATTCAATGCCTTATAATATAATAAGATAAAATAAAATGTAGTATATGTACAATTAAATATAAAATATGAATATAAAAGTAAATTATGTGACCATCTAACAAAGTGGTATAATAAAATAAAGGAATGTAGGGCAGGGGCAAGACTGGATGGGAATTGGAGAGGTAATCTTAAAATTTTAATAAATTGTCAAAAATTTGAAAGGGGGTCGTTTCCAACAGTTAGACTGAAATAAATAACCCTGTGCCAGTGCCTTGTGTTGAATGGTGTTTAGTTGCTTGTCAATAGTAACTGGTTTCTTTTCAACCATCCTAATCTCTGAGATAAAGCTAATGCCTAGGACTTGAGTTCTGAAACAAGCTTTGTAGATTCTTTATCTCCAGCATTTATGACATTGAAACACTGCTGAGAAAGTGAAAACAATTTTCAGAAGAATGTAACTTTATGGTTACTGCTGGATGGTTCTGGTTGCCCACCCTGGTTCCCACCAGTCTAAGCCCCTGTTTATAGACATTATGCAATGTGGAATTAAAATTTAAATAATACTAACAAATATTTTGATTTTTTTATGATTATTGATATGTTTTGATATATTAGAATAATGATTGACCTAAACACCTAGAATTTGTGAGGAACAAACTAAGATAAATTTGAAATAATACAGGATCTAGATTCTGCACTCAACCATATACAAAATTAACCTAAAAACTCATTATAAAAATACAATAATATCAAAAATGCAAACAAACGATACCAAAAACTTAAAGATGGGAAGCCTCGCAGGCCCGTAGCTACCCCAGGGGGTACCAACATTTTCTTTTGGGGAGCTTGGCCCCCCTCTAGCTATGGGTCTGTAGCCTTGTTATTCTTAGTAATACATATATTGAAATACATGCATCAATATCTCTCTCTAGCTCTGTTACAGCTCTAAATAATCTTACTTTTTCCAAATTCAAATTTCAAAAAGGCACTTCATTGTCATGCATTACAGGAAGTTTTTAAACTTTGGCAAACTATTTTGGCAGACAGAAACATATTGATGGTTATTTCTGTTCTAGAATGTGAACTTCAAAACTTTCATTTAATGAGCCTTATCAAAAACATCAGAGGTCATTAATATTGCTAAACCCTTTTAAAACTAGCTTCTCTTCAAACTTCATAATATATATCTATACCAATGGAAATCTCTCAAGTCAATTTTAAAGACACGATACATCTCTTGTTCAATAAGTAAACACTAACAGACTGATTTGTTGTAATGGAGGATCACTTATGACTTTCAATAACTATATGTGGTTTTTAAATGCACACTCTATACTGGAGTTTAATAGGGAAATACACTGCTAACAGAATTGTTCCATACTGCGTATTTCTATTATATTATTCAACGCCTGGTTCACATCAGGATCCATGTGGCCCTGAAATAGACAAATATATTCTCAATTGAATCGATAATCACTTCATCAAATAAATAAATCATCCCCACCAGATACACACTTGATATGAAATGGCAAAGCTTTGCAGTGGAACATTTTGCGGGGACAACAGCTCTTGATTTACCATATTTATAGATATTTAATGAGCAAAATCTGTAGCAAGACCTCCAAGTACCTGAACGGACACACCTCAATTGTCCTCAAAAAATTCTATGGTACAGAGATGAAGGGACAGAAAAGGAAAAGGTTGAGAACTAGGACTAAATTATGTTTATCAAGATGAGGTTAAAATAAAGATAGAAGTATAGAACAAACCTGTACAGCACTAATTAAATGTGTTCTATACATTATAACAGCTTCTTCATGATGTTTATTATTCTCCTACAATATACATACATTGTAAAATTGAGAACCTGAAACATGTACAGCTAAAAGGTAGGGGAACAGGGAATGTTTCACAAAATCTTAATGAAGATAATGCAGCGATTTAATTGGTAATAAAGCTGGATTAATTAAGTGATCGACCAATTAGATAACTGGAACACTACCTGTTAGTATTCCCGAATATATTCCTTCAGTCTTAATAATCAAAATTAAACTAACCTCTAATTGTTTCTGTAATGAATTAAGTTGAGACTGTAGAGATTGAATTTTTTTATCATGTTCTATAATCTGGATGGAATCATTATTATTTAAATTGCTTTCATTGGACACGTTCGGCGAGATCTTCTTCATCATTGATATTTCTTCTTCTAACAATGCGTTGGCTTTAGAGAGTTCATCAATAGTCAGATCTAATTGTTCCTTATCAAAAAGTAACGTTTTATTTTCTTCTTCTAATCTTGATATTGCGTAATTATTGGACATTTCTTCGCCAGTAGTCTCAGACGCCTGGTCTTCTAGTTCTGCTTCTAATTTTTCTTTGTCTTTCAGTAAATCTGTGTAGTCTTGCTCTAACTGGTTGTAATCCTGTTGTAGCATCTCGTGCTGTTGAATCACTCCTTCGTATTCGTCCATTTCCTCAAACATCTGATCTCTCTGCGTGGTCAGCTGACTGATTTGTTCCTGCAAGCTCTGGACTTCTTCCAAGACAATATCATGGTCGTGCTGTAGAGTAGATGAGGTGTCTTCTAACTCATCGTATTTCAGTTTTAACTTTTCCTTTTCCTCGATTAACGTAGCCACTTCTCCAACCTTTCCAGCTAAACTCACTGCACTTACTTTAATTTCCAAATCTTTCTTTTCACTCGCTAGAGTTTTATATTTTTCTTGCAGATTTTCCAGTTCGTACACGAGTTTGGTCAAATCTTCATGCATTTGGTTACCATCTTGTAGCAAGTAAGTATTCTCTTTATTGAATTCATCTCGTTCTTCCACGATTTTTTCATAAGCTTCTTGAGTTTTTTCCTTCTCTTGTTGAAGTTGGTCAAAATCTTCTTGAAGGTCATCGCCAGCTTTCAAAATGGCGTCAAATGTCTGTCGTAGTTTGTTTAATTCCGTACTTAAAACCGTCACCTGATCTTGTAATTTTTCATTCTCACTTTGTAACATTTCTAACGTGTGTTTTTCAGATTCAACCTCACCACTGTCGTCTGATTCTGTCCTACTAGGTGGCGCCACTGATTTTAACATGACCACTTCCTGTCGTAAACTTATCAATTCTTCTACAAGTTCCACACGATCTTTGCCCTCTAAATCACCCTCTTCCTTATTTGGAGAATTTCGTCCCAAAACTTCTTTTAAATTAGAGTTTTTCGAATTTAATACTTGGTTTGATAACTGAGATTGCTCTAACAAAGTTTTTAACAACTGAATTTCTTCAGCCGATTTTTTGATTTGTTCCTCAGATTTTTTAATTTCCTCACTTGATTTTGATTCTTTTGATTTCACATTTTCTAATTCAGATTTTAAATGTTTAAAATCATGTAACAGTTTTTGATTTTGTTCTTTAAGTTCTGTAGTTTTCGTGTCATTTTCAGGCAGAGTTCCGCTCTTCATCGATTCCAAACCGTTGAATTTCTCCTCCCAGGCTTTATTTTGATTGTTTAATTCTTCTTCTATTATAGCACTATTTAATTTATCCATCTCCAATGTTTCTTTCAACTGAAAAAGAAGAAAGATAAGCCTGTAATATTCTTGTTAAAGATCTTCAAAAACATTTGTGGAATCGGGGATGAAATCAAAAACATTTTTTAGAGATGAGATAGAATTGTTAAATTTCTTGTGATGAGAATAAATATCCTTGATCATGGTCCTTATTACAAAATGAGTAATAGACACAGAGTATGTATTTTTAATCTATGTTACTAGCACAAAACGGACGTGAATTTACAACCAATCAGATTCAATAGCCAATATAGACTCGATCAATTACAAAGATACCAGGTAATTTTAGAAGCCAACTTTCGTCGTAGCTGTGCATAGACAATGAGTGACTGGATGATAGAGGCCAGCTAAATCTTATCTTACCTCAAATATTTCAGTTTTTAAGTCTTGTTTTTCTGTTTCTAAAGATTGTATTTTATCATTTAATTCCTCTAAATCTTGTAGAGAGATTCCAGTAGAGATAGAATCTAGGATTCGTTTATTCTCATCTAATTCAACATGGCCGTTGGGAATCTTCTGGAAATATATACATTGACAATTTGACATGTGTTTACAATGAGAAAGAAAGAATATCGCCAATATCTGTGACAGCTCTATCAGTAAGAACTGGGTAGTTATGTATTAAGTGATTAGGTATCACCGGTTAGAATGCCCCTCAATTCAGAACAATTCTGATGCCACAGTCGGTGTCTGCTCTCAAACTTCTACATAAAAATACCATAATCCTATGTTTTCAGTATCTGGTTATCTAGTAGTTAATGGCAATGCTGCTGCTCCAAAATAAGCCATTTCTGATCAATAATTTCCCAAAGCCACACTTTTAGAAAAAATGTCCAGA